TAAAGATGCTGAGTACAAAGGTCAAACCTGAATTGTATATTATGCAATGAGCACTTTAAAATAATCAGTGTGGCATGCCAGAAAATTGATTTGTTTTCTTTCATATTGTTTCATATTGTAAATAGTACCATACACATATCAAGTTCAAATTGTCCAAGAAAAAAAAAAGTGGGAGAAAAATATAAATTTGGGGTTTGCAGGCTTTGGGATAATGGAAAGAACTTAAACAAGAATTTAAATAAGAATTTTGAGAGCTCACAGGAATTTTTTGTGGTTTTTTTTTTCAAAATGATATTGATCAATGTTTTTGTTATTCGGCAAAATCAAATTTGTCTTGTGGCGCATAGTCATAATTTATTCGAAAATTTTCCGTCAAGCAGTTTCTAATCAGAGACCTCACACTCCAAGGATAAAAAGTGTGTGAAATCATTGCAATCAAGCATTAAATCATCGTCCACAGACAGGATAATTTGGCGCCAGCTCTAATTTCCTGCAAGGCAGTTTGCCGGTGAGACATGAAAAGACGCAAATAGAAACCTCACCAAATTACGGTACAGATGTATCCCTGGATGTGTGGCCTTGTAGCTGTACTCTTTCAGTTTTTTTGCAGCCTTGACATAACTGCAGCTATCGTGGCATTGAGAGGAGTCTAATTCCAGGTTGCACCTGTATAGTTCAGTCTAATCATTAGGTATTAATGACAACATAAATTAGTCTTTATTCAAAGCTCTGGTAAAGTCTGGCATTCGAAACAACTGAAATCTTAAACTTAGAAATATGTATTGCTTCAGACTTGTCCTTATTGTTTCAAAATGGAGGAATTTTATTCATAATAGAAATTTAGATGTAATAAGTTTTTCAAATGGTTACCCTGATTTTTTGGAATATCATACAAAAACTGCTCCACTACCGGTCTGATTTCTATAATTTAAAAGCAAAATTTAATTTTTAAAAATAACTCCTAAGTATTTCTCAATCAGATAAAAAAAAGCCAGCAAATTCAGTTCAATCATAGTTGGTGGATAATCCTTCAAAATAATCTTGCAGTTGCATTTACTTTATAAGCCATCACTTTAGAATTCTTAAAAGATCAAAACTTGCTGTGACATAGAAGCAGAGAAAATGGGCACTTCAGTAAATCAGCAGGGCAAGATTGCATTTCATTCACTCTAATAATTTTCTCGATTTCCTGCTTAAAATATTCCCCATTTCCAAAGAGTCGTCCTCTCCTTGCATCAAGGTGATGCATGTATGTCCACCCCCAGAGCACAGAATGGAATGTCCCACATCAAGCTCAGTAAATCCTGAATGAGTTTGACTGAATATTGATGAGCCTGGCACCGTGATTGGCCAGCGTCGCTGACGACGCCGTCCACAGCATCTTCAGGTTTTTTATTTTCACCTGCCTCCTCTAGACATAAGCTCACATGCACAGTAGGAGCATGCAACACCCATTTTAGTAGGATTTCGCCATCACCTTTCCGTTGCTCTGGAATTTTTCCCCCCGTGAGCAGCCAGCTGCCGCGAATGCTTTCCTCCCTGAACGTGAGTGTTGAAATCTTGGAAATTCTTGTTTATTTGTTCAGAATATTAGATGGTTTCGGAGATGTAGGAAATTTCCGTGAGTGTGTGCGGAGAGGCCAATGATGGTTAGGACAAGTGTTGAGTGGCCATTCTTAGTCGCCGTACTGTTTTGATTTCTTCGTCGGCCCCGGCAGTTGAGTTGTCTGTTGATTACTTGCGTGCAGACTGCTCATTTGCATATTTTTGCAAACGTATTTGCCCATCAGATTGCGTGTGAACAGGAATCTTATGTGGAGTTTCGGAGTACTGTAAGTTTTATAATAATGTGTGTAATTTTTTTATTTAAAAAAAAAAATGGGTGCAATTTAGCATTTAATCTTAGAAATTCTGTGTGGATGTACCGGTACACATGTCTGTTTTGTGCTATTTTTTTCATAATTAAATAGGGTTTGGTATGGTTCTGTTTTTACCAATTCTAGAAAAAAAATCTGCTATATATTTAAATTGCCATTTATTTTCTGTCTTTATTAATATTGATTGAAAAATGTCTTGTTTCAAAATCAAACATTTGGCACAAATGCAATAAAAGCTTGTAGAAATGAAAATTTCCTGGAAGTAGATCTCCTGACGTCAATATTTATGGCCAATTTCCCCTGCAAGACAATTTAACCGCAAAGTTATATTCGGAGCTACACATTAATATAATTTATGTATCTGGCGACATTTCCAATTGCCCTGTACATTATACGGTACACATAAACCCTACTCTGCCAGCCGACCGGCCGGCGGGCTTGTAAGCGGACCCCATCCCATTAAGAAGCAGAATACATCATTTAGATTTTATAGCCCGATACCGGACTAACAACGCATCAATTTAACCTCCTTAGTGGATGCAGTAGCAGGAGGCCCAGTGCGGGGTTGTATAACTTTACCCATCGCATCCAGGTAACACTGGAGCAGGCACTTGTGAACATTCCTATGCATGATGTGTTTTAATAATAATATTAAGAGCATTTCTTTCCTTTTTCCTCAATTTCTCCATTTGCTTTTTCGTTTCCTTTTTTTTCCCCCGGTCAACCGCCACTAATAGGCATCTGAGAGCTTTGAAAACCTTTTAAGTCAAATGTCAATGTTTGTCCACACAATTGGCCGATAAGGGGCCAAATTATAGATCAAGCTAATATTTTCCGTACACACTTGTGACTCAGCACTTGCAGTTTGTTATTGGTTTAGTCTTTGGTTTACTTATCAGTAGTTGTAGGTTAAGGTGCTTGGTTGGTTTTAAAACAACCCTGATTTTTGGCTTTGCTTTTGTTGAGAGTTTATCTTCGGCTCATTTAGATATGTGACTTTTCCTTTTTTTCTTTCTCAAATCAAACTACACATTATGAACAGATAAGATAAAAGTATTTAGCATGCTTGGGTGAATTTCCACGAAAGCTGATTGTTAGAAAAAAGGAAACACACATCTAGTCTTGTTCCGTACACTCGTCTGTACAAGGTATTTGTGGGGACAGAAAATGCTGTGGGAACAGCAGAAAGTCCCCATAACTCGGTCCCAATTTGCCTAACAATAACAAACTTCCCCATAACGCAGTGTAGGCCAGGGCACACATACATATACAAAACAAAAATCCCAAAATACAATTTTACACAGACGGAATTCATTAACAGGAAAACATGATTCCAGCCGTCACGTGTGTGTGCAAGTCCCCAGCTTATCTAATCATTATATGTCACTTTGATCACGAGCGTGTGGCACCCCCTCCCCCAACCCTAAACGACGAAGGTTATTTGATGAGAACAGCAATTAAGCCCCGGCAAACACTACTCGGTGCTCTCTCCAGAACTCGCCCACTCACAGAAAATTGTTCCGTTGCTGGGAACGTAAAAGAAAAGAAAAAGCTTAGGGAAATAGAAATACATTCATAAATGATTTGATTTTAATCCTTGATTCATCAAAAGCCACTTACATGTAAAGCTACCTGGTCCTTGTAATACATGTATACATGTAGATGTCGAGAGCCATTGTTCTAAGATATTGATGTTTAAAGGCCAGTCATTAACTATTCAAATCAAGAATTCTTTACCGATTATGAAATTGAACGTGGACCAAATGGATGATACTATTGACTTATTAAGAGTGCTGTTACAACAAGCACAATGTGAATGCACTTTTCCATGAAGTGACTTTACAATGTACATAGCTACATTTACATATGATGCTTGATCACGGTAAAGGCCTGCTTTGACGATTTTGCAATGACATATTTATCTTCTATTCAAACTTAGCAATGATTAATTTTGTTACTTAATTAATGAAGCTTGCATCAGAGTGTGATGTTGATGAATAGTGTTATTTGCTTTTCATCATGCGCCGATAACAGTGAAAGGAAATGACGCAGTTGTGAAAAAAAAAACCTTTTGGTTAACATATGAGGACAGAAAGAGTTAAAATTAAAATACTATTTTTTTTCTAAAACAAAGCATTTATTCAGTATTCTTTATATTGAAATGCCAAAAAAATCACAGCTTGCCAAATGGTGTGGATAAATATTTGCCTGCGTACATGCAGATCACTGAGCAGATCACTGAATGCAGAGTGGAAGGATTACTTAGTGAAAAAAACTTCCGTCACGACTCTTGAAAGCTTTTTATCCCCGTTCAGTTTCCCTGCCTTGCCTGCTGTTTCATCACCACAACAAAAATCTTGTGTCAGAAATCTAGATTATTGAGTGTTTTTATTCCGGCAAACTCTTACGGAAAAAAAAAATCCTCAACTGCACTGAAACAGAGTCTCTGGGGAACTACTGTATGGAGGCTTCCGAGTGCTGCAGGAAAACAAAACGAAACCATGGCTATCTTTATTCATTTAGATCACTCTGAGAGGAGGTTTTTGCAGGGGACGTGCGGGGGCCGCGGGTTGTTTAACGAGGTCTTAAAAACCTGAAACAAACACTTCAATAAGCTGTTTCGCTTGCTGATGTCCATTTGTAATGTATGGTCCCTCGCTTAATTCTGACAGATGTCAATTGTGCTTGTGTGTGTCAGCTTTCAAAAGCTTCTTGAATTATTCATGGAGGTTTGTAATTACCCTCGGCAACATGGTTGAATTCATCTTTTGGAGCATGTGGACTTCAACGTCATTTGTTGCTTAACTAGGGGAATCAGTTCAACCAGTTGTGTCTCTCCTCGTTTGTCATCTCTGTGTCTCGGGTTCGAATCCCACTCCTTTTCATAATGTAGATCAGGATTGCAGTTCCTTCCCTCCTTGAGGATTTCCCTACCAACTCTAAATCTGAATATTTTGTCTTCTCTCCTATTTCTACGGGCCTGTGAACTACAGTTTCATGAGTAATGTTTTTTTTATAGGAATATTTGGTTTTCATCACTTCCCGTTAGAAATTTTAGATATTAGTGATTTATTCTTTGACTGTCACTGAGTAAATGTTTTGTTTTTGTGTGTTTCTTGTCAGGCACAAAGCAGGCGATGACATCCCTAATCAACCCATCTTATGACAGCAACGCCATCACACCATCCGATCAAGTCAATGCAAACACCACCACCGATCCGACCTTGTCCAACAAGCTCAGCGAGGCCCTGGAAAATGACCTCAAATCCCTGAGCCGCAAGCTGGACGAGCCTTCCCTCAAGGACTCCAACTTCACCTTTGAGTTTGACAACGGCGGCGGCTCCAAGCGCAACTCGGGCTCGGGCAAGAGCAGGACCAAGTACGCCTCCACAGACCTCTCCGAGATGGGGATAGGTAACCCCCTGGAAGCCCTGATGGATAGCGATGGTGAGATGGAAGGACGACTGACCGTCGCTGACGACAACATCCTGCGGGAAAGAAATAAGAAGAAAGCCGAGGCCATGTTCGCCGACATTGATTTTATCGATGATGGAGAGGAGGACGATTATGAAGACGAAGACGAAGAAGAAGATGAAGAACAAGAGATGAAGAGTGTGGATGAGGCAGCTAAAGACAGTGGACGTGAGAAGGACTCAAAGAGAATGAAGATCACGGACAAAAATGAGGATGTTGAAGACCGAGAAGAGCCTAAAGACCCGGATGCAGACATAGTCTCACCTGATGAAGAGGTCCGGGCATCTCAGTTGGGCGGCTTCCTCCGTTACTACGCAAACTTGGAATCCATCGCCAAAGGTCGCATGGAAAATCCAGACGACGAGATCACCTCTATCAACGGAAGTATCAGTGACTCAGACGACGACAGCGAAATCAGAGAAGGATTATATGAACCGCCACAGCATGCCACCCCTTACGATTCTGGTCCCTCAACCATGGAGGATGATAGCACCGACTGCGAATCCACCTACGAAATGCTGTACAACAGTTTCGGACTGCGTGTGCAGGAAGAAGGCTTCTCCAAAGAACTCCTTTCCCCGTCAAACGGCCAACACGATCACGGCTACGTCAGTGAAACTTCGGTTGACGACAAAGCATCTCCCATCAAGCGACCCGGCGTACTCCTCCGCGAGGGTAGTAAACCCTCTCTCAGCACCCTGATTGAGGATTCCCGGAGCGGGGAGAAGACCTCCCAAGATGATGAAGCTGAATCGGGCGTTGAGGTCACTCCTGAACCCAAGACCAACAAAGACCCACTCAAGAAGAGCACCTTGCAGAAGCCCACGTCTCTCCCACCAGGATGGAAGGAGGTTGCCGATATGAGAGGGACCTACTACTGGCATGTCCCTAGCGGAACTACACAGTGGAACCCACCATCACCAATGTCTGGTGGGGAATCGTCGACAAGTCCACCTAGAAAACCTGCACGGTCGGTAGGTATTCAACTGTGCACATTATCAACAATCTCATTGCATATTATCAACAATCTCATTTTTTTTAAAGCCCTCTACAGGAAGACAGATCTAGACCTAGATAAAAATTAGCAGAGAACTCAAAATCGTCCTGTTGCCTGCCAGAAATACATTTTCTGTTTTAAGTTTAAACTAAATTCCTGGAATCATTAGAATTTTTTGTTCACCTTTAAGTCAAAATTGTAGGGATTGGGACTGGAAAACATGGGGGGGGGGTTCAACCCCCTGCCTCAAACACTTTCTCTGCACCTTGACACTGTAAGGAAATTAGACAGCTAAAATATAAAAATGTTGAGACAAAATGAAATCTTTCTTCAAGAAGAAATAAAGAGAAGCCTTACTACATACAGGACTGTAGGCATAGTTTTCGTTGTCGTCTCACATATAAATCAAATTAATCACTAAGTACGTAAGCGGATAGCGTAGCATGCCAGTAATTTGAAACTGAAAGACTACTGATTAGGCCATTACAAAATAAATTACTGTTTTCCATGAAAACAATCTTCAGGTTTTTTTCACCTCTCTTTAAAATTTCATTGTGAACTTGTGAAGATCTTAATGGTATGGTGGTTGTAGATTTATTTTACCCAAAATCTTAAGGAAATGTTCGTTGGACCTAATCTTGGGAGGAAAAAAATAAAAAAAATAAAAATAAGTTACAATATTTGATTTGCACGCCCAGGAATTTTTTAATGGATATGCTTTTTTGAAATAGCAAACCGATGAAATTACATTTTCCTACCAGAATGTGTTGGTTTAAGGGCAGCTTTGACTATGTTTACATTTCAAAAATGAGTTTTTCTCCTTTTTTGCAATTTGTCCCCTTATATTTTAGCAATATATAAAAAAGAAGGCTTTTTTTATTTGGCTTTTTTCCACAAACAAATCTTGCAGAGACAGTAAACAGATTGACTGTCTGACCAGGCCTAATGAGGGCTGGAGAATTGCCGCTAATGCGCTAGGGAGCATCTGCAAAGCCCCCGGCCACGCGCACCAAATATTGAATGAAGAAAAGCCGGCCCATTATGCTAATAATGGATTTTCTGCACGGGGCACTTTGTCTCAATTCACCGGCCGGCCGCAATAAGAACCCCGTCGTGATTTCAGAAGTAGACAGGTTTTTTTTTTTGGGTTCCCTACCCCGTGCTGCACGGATCTTATAGATTTTTAAGTGACGTGAATAAGACAGGAGCTGGAGAGGTTTTTGTTTTGTTGACAACAAAGCGTCAAATCTGAAACGTGTTCCTAATGCGAATTGTGCTGGAAAAGCTTCTCCGCCCCCTCTTTCTTTAAGATTCTTGCTTCTGTACTTCACTCAGACATCGGTCAACAGGGATTCATTTCAAGATTTTAAATATGATGTACGTGTACATAGAATACAAAATGGACAAATATGCTGAATTTTTTTTTATTACGTTTATTGGTTTAATCTGTTTTGACACAGTGCACACAGGTGCTATGACAATCTCTATGCGTATGTATGCAGAACAGAAATACATAAACTTTGAATTTTTAATTTTTTTTTATGCCAATCAGGACTATTGTGTTGACTCAAACAACATGGTTAAAACTAGAATACAATATATCAAAGAAATTGTCACAGTTGCAAGGTCTTTATGGTTACCATAGTAACCACATAAAGTAAATTGACAGGATTACATCCTGAGTGTTCATGCAAATGACACGTATGAGCTGTCAATATTTTTATCCCGTCTCATAACATTCATTATGACGTGTGAAGTACATCTACATGTATACGTGCCATTTGAATAGCACTGTGGAGGTGGTTGGTTCAAATGGAGTCCTCACTTAACGTAATCACAAAAGTAATTTTCCATTCATATTCAAAGGAATACCGGAACATGACATTCAGCACGTGAAAATATCTCAAATTCATATCGCATTTCAAAACCCTCATCATCACCCACATCAAAAGTAGACAGCCGTTCTGAAAATTTAATGAAAGTCCCAAGGGATTTGACAGTGCGGTCCATTGAACCGTTTTGCACCCCAGCGATTCGTTTTTTCTCCTTTTCTTCCAGTTAAGTGTAAGCAAACAATCGAAATTGTGAAATAAACATGAGTCGGGGCGGGTCGTAGTAACCAGTGGCATTTTTTTTTTGTGGGTAATGAATGGCGGAGAAAGAGAGAAACAGATGAAGTCGCGGTCTATAATTCATTCGCGGCACGGCAGTCGCGGCTGCTGATGATTCTGTACACAGAACTTGATCTCTCTAGAGAGTTGGAGACAAACACAGGGGATATTGTTGTCCCCCTAAGCATGAAGATGGGCCGGAGGTTTGAAATGGGAGTGGGGAGGGTGCTCGAATTAACCAGTTTGACATTTCAGGCCACAATAGGTCAGGATATAAACGTTGGCCTGGAATTGACAATGAAGTGATGAAGAGTAACCTCCAGTTAAAAAAAGGGATTCTGTTTGAGAAATTTTGATTCCCTGAAGTGTCTGCATCTATATTCTTCTCGACATAAAATTTTCACAGATTTTATTGAAATATGAAAGCATGTTTTTATAAACGTATTGTAAATTGATCATATTGTATATTTCATACAAGCACAAAAATAAGGGGAATTACATAATTATTAAAACAATCTCCAGTCCTGAATAACTATTTAACATCTTGAATAGACATCTTTTTGTTAAAAACAAACAATAATTTTGTATTAAAAATAATTACCCCAGTACGATCCAAGCCATTGAGCAAACATAACATAATTTCTATCAACACCGCTTTTCTGAATTTTCTTAAACTTCTGTTATACAATGCAGTGTAAAAAAAAAAAAGTAAAAAAAAAATAACATTAGAAAACTCTAGAATCTGAGTTCCTTTCATGTAAGAAAAGCAATGTAATTTTGACTAAAAACACAAGAATTCCACACTATAGACACAAGAATCCCACGCCGTCAACAGGTTGTCTTGTGTGGATACCACTTCATATCACAAGCATGACTGCACACATCAAATCATAAACAAACACACTCGTTCTAAGTAATTCTAATTATTGTGCGCGGAGCGCGGTCGGATCACCTCGTATTGTTTTGTCCCCATTCACCAAGAAAACGCAGACATTAGTAACCACGGACATTAACATCGCACACAACAATAACCATAGCATTCCTGCACAACATGTCTTGGTCGGCGCATTGTTTTGTTCATATTTTCTCTATTTTACAGTCAGGACATGATGAGCTCAGGAAGCCCGGGGGAATCGAGGCGTAATCAATCCGCGCCGCGGCCACGGACGGACTTCGGTGCCCGCGGACTCGTAAAGCAGCGTGTGCGCTCTCTTCGCTCCCCACACTTCAATTATTCTGCTTGCGTAGAGGGAGGGTACAGAGGATGAGTCATCGTCGCTGTAGAGAGATAAGCAAACGCGATGAGCGCGGGCCCAGCGATTAAGGATTACTTGTCTTGTTTTTTTTTGCTTTTTTGCTTTTCTTTATTGGATACGGGGAAGAAATTTTATTGGAAGCTGTCCAATAAAGTTTTATTGGTTGTTTCTTATAGTACCATTACGAGTGGTTTTATGAATAACCAAGTTGTGTATGCTACATGTATGTATATTACTCTCTCAAAATTCAAAGTTTTCTTAAATTGCCAAAATAAACCAAATCAAATTGTATATTTTTTCACATTTGTTTTTTTTTTCAAATATTTTGTCAGTGGTAATTGAAGTGTTTAATTTCTTTGATCAACACGTAAAGCAACTTCTGATCCATTTGGGTTTTTTTTTTTTGGGGGGGGGTTTCATTGCTTTGAGTAATGTTCACTATTTCATTGATATTTATGGATTTTCAGAACCAACATTAGAAACAGATATTCCAATCACCAGGATTAATAAAGAAATTCCGATGTTATCTCAAAGCAAGTATGCGACTGCTTTGAGAAAAGAAAAAAAAAGCTTCTGCCCAGTATTTGATTAAAATCGTAACCGCAGTTACGCCGGTTCCGTCTGGCCAGTGTTTGCCCAGCAAATGCAATTTAGCCGGGTAACGAGTGATAAAATGCACGCCGCGCATATGGAAACGGGGATTGTGGTCCATTACCTGCCCGTCCGGTCGCGACGAGGAAAATCCGTCTTGGGACAAACAAACTAGGCCCATGTCAAGGAATGGGGGGGGAGGGGGGGAGATGAGACAGAAATGCAAAATATATGCACCTTACTGCGTATTTTAACATGGTTTGGTCTAGTGTATGACTAGGCATGACTGTAATCTGTATTTACCAGGGTATTTGTCCTGTTTCAATGTGTGTCAAATATTTCAATTGATTGCCAAAAATCTTTTCAGTCCAAAAAAAATGACTTTTGCATAAATGTACATAGGAAATTAACAAAGGAAAACATACATGTATACATTTTGATGTTTACATATAAACCCTCACCTATTTATTTCTGATAAACTCTCATAGTCCGCCGAAAAAAAAAAATTAGAAAGATGTGGAACGCAAACATGCAAATTGTTTGCCTAAAATTATAGCTAACAAACTGCAGCACGTTGCCATGATATAAAGTGAGATGAACAAGGTCGCATCCTCTTCGTTTGAAAATTTTTAGACAACAAAGTAATGAAACGCAAACAGCAATATTGTGGTTCCTTGGCAACTGATGACATGGATAGACTCGTCGGCAACATGGTCGTAAACATGGGCGCTTAATGCAATAAGTTCATCTGTGCACGATAGTGTCAATAGAACAAGACGCTACAATTATGAAGAGAATTTCAGTAGAATGCACAAGGGAGAATCCGAGTGAAATAAATATATAAACGAGAACATCATTTGAAGGGGAAAAAAATTGAAGATCTGCTTTGTCAAACAAATTTTAGAAACGAGAAAAATTGAAATACCAAGCAATATGCTTGGCTGAGGAAAGTCTTGCTAAAAAAAGAGTGATAAATTAACGAAAGTATAAAGGAATTTACTCACTAAACAAAATTCTGGAGAGAGGTTTTATTTGTACATTCCGTTTACAACCCTTTCCTCTAAACCTGCTTGCACTCCACTTTTAATTTTTACGTTTGCTGCTTGTCTTTTCATCTAAATACTTAGATTTCAAAGATAAGCTTGCTTGTTCGTTCTTTTCTTTTTCTTGAAGTCAACCCTCTAGTATCTGTCTTATCTTGTCCCATCTGTTTGTCTTGTCCGTTTATTTCCCCAAGGAGCAAATTGCTCTCGTGTCAAGTTTGTCAACAGTTCCTGTCTGTGTGGTTGCCTGTTTTATTCTGTCTCTCTGTCTTCGATGACCAATGTTTGTCCATGGGTCTGTTTTCTTTGGAAAGATCTGCCTGGTTCAGCTGTCCGGGTTGCCAGTTATTACACTCATTGTACAACACATGTGCTGTCTGCATGTCAAGAGTCATACATTTTTGTGCCTATGCATGGAAAAATAACACAGACACATGTTTGCATTGAGTACCTCCTCTCACCCCAGCCTCTAAAGATCTTGGTTTTTCTTTTCCATGTTTTAACTTTTAAGACTGCTCTAACCTCTAAAGCTTTTTAATCTGTTTTGACGGTCTGTTTTATCTGTTTCCCTCTTCTTTTTTTCTTTTTTTATAAATGCTTGTTAACATGCCATTGTCCACATATGGACAAACCCTGGCATGTGCGCTCTATTGTGCAAAGCAACTGCCCGGTGACGGATTATCTGAACAATAGCTAGCACAATGCTTTCGCCATTGAAGGGGGCCTGAGTGATAGAATTGTGGCGTGCCTGGATTGGTGTATAATTCACAATGCCATCACTGCAGGTCCATCAATGAAAGAAGACCCATTGCTTACGCTGTAATGTTCAGTTACAATGGAGCAGTATGCCAAATGTTTTTTGTAAGATTCTAAAGGATTCCAAAAGGTTTGAAGGGAAAACAAACATTTGATTGGTTACCAATCTAAATTAGATCCCATCTAAAGCCTGACGGTGATGTGATTTTGCAACCAACACGAACCTCGCACTATGGAGGACTAAAAGCATTGCTTTCTGTCAGCATATATTATTTCTTTTCACTGAACAATCACCTAAACTTTTCCAGTGCATGTAGTTTGGTCTTTAGGCTACGGGCCATGAGTCAACCTCCTCCCCCTCCCCCCCCCCCCATACATTCAGTCACTAACTTCAGTCGCCAAGTACTATATCAGAGTCTGTGTCTCCTGTAGCAGTGCCTGTCACGGCCAATACAAACGTCTCTTGTTTAATTTAGACACCATGAAACACCACGCACCTGATCATGTCTGATTTCATTAATCAACGGAAATACAGTCCTCGGTTCTTGGGATTACGTGCGACAGAAAATGTAATGAGCAGATTTGTTCCGAGATAATTTAATCAGTTAATGTTGGGTTCTTTGATTTTTATTTCATTCATTTAGTTCTAATTCAATGGATTTGTTTTTGTTATCAAACGGATTAAAAATTTTAAGAGGAGACAAAGCAACATAGAGTTATTCAAGGAATATGCACAAGTGTACATGTACTATTTATTTCAAAGATGTAACAAAATAAAGAACAAAAAATGAACATTCAAAATTATGAAAATTGAGTTTGATGATTAATACTTATATTTTAAATTAAATTTAAAAATTCTTGCTGATATTTGTTACATTAAGGGTAACTTGAAACCTCTGGATGGCTTGTTAGTACAGTTTGACTAATCCTTGTATTTGCCTAAGTCCCCAGGGGACCATGCACATACCAGCTGCGGTACATGTCACAGACATATGACCATGCTCAACATAATCCCTACATGTGCCATGCATTAACAACTCCGTCATAATGTGACAACCTACACACACGTGATGATTATCAGAGGGACCGCCGTGCACACGCACCCACCTACGTGTATGCGTGGTTATTATGAATACGTGCACTCAGGATCGGCGGTCCGTCACGCACGCCGCCGACCATTATGCGTCAAGGATTTATCTGCATGCGCGCTCCGGCGCAAACCGAGCGTCCTGAGTGGATGGGCCCCTTGGCCACGGGCAAACTGCACGCGAGCAGACGTACCCGAGAGGTGTGAAATAAAATGCCGGAGAGATGTAGATTTGGGGGGGAGGGGGGTTCGGGTGCAGTTCCAGAAAAAAAAATGCAAGCCTGGTGTTTTTTTCTCCCCTGATTTATTTATGATGGAATTTGGCACACTGTCCGGATCGTGAGGCATTGATCATGAATATTGGTGCTAGTGAATGAAACAAAGCAATGATTTATGTACGAGGCGACGGGGTGTGAGGTAAACGGGCATTGTAATGCAGATCCTGGATTTGTTTTTTCCCCCAAGATTTGTCCGAAAGGAAAATAGTCACTCTTATTTTGAGTACAGTCTGAAATTTTAGTCTCTGTTCAATTTGTTTTTGAAAATGAATATTTTATACCATAATTCTAACTTTGCACAAGTAGATTCAGTTGCATTTTGCATACATGTACACACCGGTACATGTATCATCTACAAAAATATATATTTTCCTTGCTGCTTGTGTTCCCACATTGATTAATTTTAAACTTCCATCCTGTTTAATTTCTTTCTTTCAAGAAAAACAAAAATGCGTACTACATGTTGTGAACCCTCACTTTTAAGAAATTAATTATTTTTGTTAATCATTTATGGTCTGCTCCTAAAATAGACAAACACATATCGTACCTGTGCATTCTGTTGTTTACAGGCATGCAACTTTTCCTCGGATCGGCTAATTTTCTCTTTTTTACTTCTCATGTGGGCCATAAAAATAGAAAACCACTGCACAGAGTTTTGGAAAGATTTGGTTTTCCTCTTTTCTTTGTGTGTGACTTCACAGTTGCATGCCTGCGTTTAGTGTGCAACTTTCTTCATTTAGAAATTCTAGTCTGACTAAAAATTGCAACCATTTTTAATTCACACATGTAGCTGGAAAGATTGAACACAGAATCAGGAGGCCAAGACGGTAGCGATGGAGACCACAGTTTGAAAGATTTCCAACAGTCCACGATACGCTACGCCAACCTGAAGCTGGGCCCCAGCTCGGGAAAGACCCTGAACCACCTGCATCCAAAGAGAAAAGCGTGAGTGGAACATTTCGATTTCTTGAGATTCGGGAGGAAACAATATAAGGCTGAGGAAAAAAGACTCGGAAAGAAAGCGTACAATATGCTATATATTTCAAATGATGTCTAAATTGTTCTTGTAAAATGCTAGGATTCAGCTGATTTCCTTGTTTTGTACCTTCGCTGTACTGTGCCAATAAAATTTTAAAAGTTCAGTAGAAAGTGTAAATTTCCTCGCATTTTTTGATATTGCTTGCTTGTTTAAGAAATGCTTTATGAACTAATGCATCCAGAATGGACCAAATTTAAACTTTTTTTTTGGTTGACCAAGAAAAATGTACTGAAATACTGTAGCAGTGTTTTCTGAAAGTATCAATCCAACTGTTTGAAAATTCCCATTTATAAAGTCATTGTTTTTGGAATAAAATTTAAAACGACGTCTCAAAGATGTCTGCATACTTCAGTCACTGAAATTGAAGGCTCTCATGTTCCATCAAACTACGTTAATCCTCGTCAATTCCTCTATCCATGTATCATTTATTGATATAACTATCCCCTTCCCTACCCTCTCCCCCACCCTTAGCCTCGGGGTATCCGTTTCCATGTGCGCTCCCTGGGATGGGTGGAGATGGAGGATTCGGACCTATCGCCAGGCAAGAGCAGCTTGGCTGTCAACAACTGCATCCGGCAACTTTCCTACCGAAAGAACGACATCCGGGACACAGCTGGCATATGGGGAGAGGTAAGAAGAATAAAAGATTGTGGATAAAATCACCAGATATCTGTATTTGGAGTTTATTAATTCATTTAATTGTTTATTTATTGCGATGTCACAAATATCAATATTACTATTGCAGTGCAGCATAAACAAATGCCAAAAATTGAGTTGGTGAAGGAAATATCAAGTAAGAATTTTCAGAAGAAATTGCAAGTCGTACTATTTAAGCTTGGACTGATAGACCTAATGGGCATGATTCAAACCGACTGGCAGTGGGAAGCTCCGAAAACAATATGCCTACTTAACCTTGAAATATTCAATGAAATTGTCGGGTGCACCACAAAGTGATGAATCTTCTATGGACTTTGTGCACACGTTACGTCACTTAGTGGAGCGACGAACAAAATATTACATTTGTCATGATATTCCCCTCAGAATTGAGATAGTGTACTCACAAAAGTTATCAAAAGAGGAAAGTAAACGATTGATAGTTATCAAAAGAGGAAAGTAAACAATTGAGGATAGTTAGCGTAGAATATTGTAGAAAAGACGAATGGCATATTTTATGTTAGTTTGAGAGAAAAATCTCAGACATTAATTCTGAGAACATCCTTGCCATCCTCCAAATCCATGAATGAAAGAGAAAAGATGAGGTGTGGGAAAGCAAGGAAGTGTTGCAGAAAAAAAAATTGTCAAATGAGATCAACGGATGTGTTGGGGGGAGGGTATTGGTTTGAAGGGACCATGTGATTGACAACGACAAGCCCACATGCAAGCGATCCAATCTAATCACGAGTCCGAGACGGCCAGACGAGTCCGAGACGGCCAGACGAGTCCTCTCAGTCTGAAGGCAACAGGCTTGATTACATTACAGTGAGGACTCAACGCGCAGACACGTACAAACTCTCCTCCTGCCCAAAAAGAAGAAGAAAAAAAGCATCATGAAAAAAGAGCGTGGTAAATTTGTCTGGATGTAACTAGAACATGACCAAGCCAGAGGAACAAGCATGAAGACATGCTCAGTTTGGGGGAAAAAATCATCATGTAGCCGTCATAGAGACACAGATGTCTTGTATGGCAAACCTAGTTTATTTGGTAAAAAACTGGAACACGACCAATATGCGTAAGAGTGTTAGAATTAAGCGGCTAGGAAATGTCGCCTGGAAAAAAAAGTCACATAGAAAAAAATGTGTTCCCCCTTCGCTGCGTTGAGAAGAAGAAAAAAATACACTGATATTTTAATAATCAGTACACTTGAACACTCTGGGTTTCTGATGCGATTTACGGGAAGTTTTACTTTTATTTGCAAAGAAACACAGATATGTCTTGCGTGGCAGAGTTGAGCGTGCTTAAAATTTTCTGGTGGATGCTAGAAAATAGAAAAAGATACTAGAAAAAGAGCCCCCCTTTTTCTTATTTAACCCAAAAAAGACACATTTAAATTTGTACTCTGCCTGTGTGTTACTTGAAATTTTAATACCCAGTATATTTGATCACTCAAATATTTCAAATGTAGAAAAATGATCCACGGAAAGTTTGAAAATTAAGAAGGCAGAAATCGTCCCTTGGCAGTAAGATTGTCAAGGGAAATCATTTGTTTCCACTTCACAAACAATACATCAACTTCATTTTGAAATCTTGTGTGGCAGGCGCAAGTGTGCACTTGCATTTACCCTGCGGGCCCAAAATGTGATTTTTTATATTCTGCAAATTTAGAACAGCCTGTTTTTCAACCATGGATGGAAAGAAAAAGTAGTAGTTGGGCTTCTTGAGAAAATTAAGGCGGTAGAAGGAATCTCAGTTGAAAATGTCAAGAGAAAAGGATGATTCATATTTTTTTTTATGGAGTACAGCCTCTCTTGTACACTTTAAAACTAGAGAAACAAAGCACACGTCTGCCTTGCGTACATACATATCTTCCCTCGGGCCCAGTGCGTGTTTTGTTGCATAAATTTGATTGTGGAAGCGAGGTCTATAACCTGAAAGTGGAACGGGACGAATGTTGGGAACCCGTAGAGTAAAAAAAATGAGGGAAATGTTGAAATGCAGCAGAAAGATGCTTAATGACAAGAACCGTGCTTGGGTTTCAACTGTATCACCATGTCTTACTCTCCATCTGTTACGGTGTGTGTCAAGACTGACTATTCATTTGTCTCTGGCTTGGTGTCTGTTTCGATCATAACAATGTATTACTTCAGTCTGTTTTGTAGTTAAAACTGCAAATTGCACAGTATTACCCCTGACCGACACAATTATACAGATTTTCTATCACATGTTCGTATTCGTCAACCCTGGAGGAGTTTACAATTAACCGTCACAATTTCCTTAACAAAAAAAAAGTATTCAACGTTGACATTTTTGCATCAAATTCCCTTCTCAGTTGTTTCATTAACGTCTTTTCACAGTATTAACCACAAGATGATTTTAACTTAATTGTTACTACTACGAATAATCACCACATATCCCTTGTGCAATGCTCTCGCTTTTCACCGTCCACCGTATAGCCCCAAGCTAGTCCAATCAACGCACAACATTTTGCAACGTATTCTTCCCAGGGTGAGGCGGGATCACGTGAAAAGTGATGCCTCGGAAGATTTGGCCAAATCCTCGCCATAATTTTTCCTAAATTCTCCCTCGGGATTAGTCCAAGAAAAAAAAAATGTCCTAAGCCTGCAGACAGCTTTGTCCCTTCTCAACAACAATTTTCCCGAAGCATCCCTTAAGACATTAACCCGAGAACTACTCGCAACCGTACAATTGCCACCAGAAGCCATTCAAACTTAGATTAGGCCAATTCAAACCTAGATTAACAATTTCCAAAGTATTGTTTCTCCAAATGAAACCTCCAGGCATTCCGACCCTGAAATCCTTACAACAACAACAAGAGAAAATCTAGAAACACGAAGCCTCTCGCGGTCGCGGAATCAATTTATTCCGAACTCCAGACACAGCCTCAGATGCGACCATGCTGTTTGTCTGCTGTTTGTGTCAGATGGCCTATTTTTTTCGCTCGCTCTCCTTCGTCTCATGGCCTATTTTTTTTCTCCCGTCTTGTGACGCAGGGCAAAGACATGTACATGGTTCTTGAGGATGAATATCTGAAGCTGACGGACCCCAACGACGGCACGATACTTAATTCCCAGCATGTCTGCAGCATCCGCGTCTGGGGAGTGGGACGCGATAATGGAAGGTAGGTGCAATACACCCTTTTAAAATTCACCTCCAAAAGTCATCTTTAAGATGTAAGATGAGACTTTTTAAAGATTGGGTGTCAGAAACATGTGCATTAGCTTGTTGGATGGAATGAAAGTTGTAACATATGATGTAATTTTCCCGACTCAGTATTTTCATTTTAAACTGGGTTAATACAAGATTTTTCAATTTTTTTTTTCCTAAGAGGGGGAATCTGATTTTGCTGTTAACAATTGTTAAAATATTCAAGCACTAAATTGGTAAATTAAAGTAAATTACAAAAGTTAAATTTGGATGACGGAAACGGCACTAATTTTAAAAACAGATTGTCTGAAAGATGCGCAGAAATTGTTGTTTAAAAAAACGTTTCTAAAGAAAAAAAACTACAAACAACATCAAGAGCAAATGGCTCAAATTTCCAAAATGTTTAGTTGTCTTAAACTAGATTCCCAGCCTATTCTAAAAATATCTTCCTGTTGAAAAAAAAACCCAGTACATTTCATGACAGTCAGTTTATGTTTCCAAAGCAGTTTTCATGTTTAAAGATCTGTCAGTTTTTCCAGCCGTATCGTCTTCCCCGGCTCTTGTTGATCTTAAATCCGATATTGCGATCCGAAGAAGTACCCGAGGTATATTACAGGCATCGATCTTCTCTCTCCAACTGCCCCCCCTTTCTTCCCCCCCCCCCCCCCAGCCTCATCCGACTGTCTGACCTTTGGTCTAAATCCTGCCTCTTGCCAATCACATTATGAGGATTTGTGAGCTAACCCGGTCTGGTAAACGGAGCAGAAGCTGAAGAAAGGGGGAAAAAAAATTGACTGAAATATAACGAAATGTGAAATCCACTTACCATAATGGGTTTTGGATTCATTGCTCCTTCAAACCATAGGCCATTAATACCTTTCACAGGTATGATTGACAGCAGTAATCTTATTCTAAATTATTACATCTCGCTTCTATAAAAAAATAAAATTAGGGTTTAGAATATGACAGATATTATGCCCTTTAGCATTTGTTTTCTTGGTAAAAAAAAATCTTGAAATGATCGATCTGTTTTGTGCTGAGGTTTTGTGTCGTCTTTTGGGGCTTTAAGCTTAGTAATCAAAGAAATTATTTGGACCAAGATGTTGTTGCTTCCTAATGTTGGATGATAATATTTTCTTTCTTTGGAATATTTAACTGCTGTGGCAGACAATAAATAAGTTGAGAACCATTCACACACCAAAAAAAAAAACAAAAAAAAAAACATAAACAGAAAACAAAACAGAAACACACCAATAGTCAACATTCTGTTTCTGGTTGTAATCTATTTTGCTTAGAACAACCTCGCTGTGGGCACCTAATTTGTGTACTTATATTGGGCCTTGTATAATGGCTATCTGAGAAGATCCCTTCATAAAAGTACAGTGCCCCTGACAGCTGACACGATGAGCATACATGTAATTTATCTCCATAGTGATAATTGACAAAGGAGGAAAAAGGCTGACCTTTTTTTATGATGGCTAAAGTGGATAAATGTCATTATAAAATAAATTGTACATTGATGCACTGCTCGTAGTTAAGGAGAACAAGCAGTGTTTGTGAAGTATTATAGATGGGCAGTTTTTATTTCAATTTAGCCAGTGTGTAAATGTATATTTGTCAAGATGTCACATTTAATAACTATGCAATTTATAAATGAGGACAAGTGAATAAATTGACCTTAGATCTGTCTACAAATTATACCAATACATATTCATTTCACATACATGTACATGTAGTTCTAGTTCTGGTACCTTTAATGCCAGTTAACGAGTACAGTGTGGGATCTCAAATTAGGCCCCCCACTTCCCACCCACTCCCCCCTCCAATTTTTGTTTTGTTTTGAAATACAAAATAAAAAACAAAAGATAAAAACAAAAGATAAAAAGAACAGATACATGTACGAAAAATTGCCTGGAATGGTGACACAATTTGGTTCATCTCCAAAAATCAGGTTCTTATTTTAATGATTATATTCCAGAAACAATGTCACACCACACCACACCAACGATTTTAGCATGAGAAGTTCAACTGGTACAACTCAAAATCTCCAGATATTTGACAGATATTTTGACACATGTCTTACCATAAAGCTGAGGCACATGTAAATAGCCCTGACAATAATTTTGAGGACGCTGTCAGTGGTTTTTGTGTTATCCTGCCTTTCCCCAGCCTGAAAGTAATTAACTTTTTCTTGTAATATAATTATATCCCTTCTCGTCAACACCTTTCCTATGGAGGCCATGATTCATCTTAGCGTTTTCATAATTACTCACAGATACTTTAAACGCATTGGGGCCTAGGGAAGGGGAATTGTCATGATGCGTGTTAGACATACCGGTAGTATGTGTGGAGTGATATACATGTAGTTGGCAATTAGTTTTGAGAATTATTAAGTTAGGCCTACATGTATTTGTCAAAAAAGAAGGAAAAAACAGAAGCATACATGTGAATGCTTAGCTGTGGCTACATTCCTGGATAAATATTCGCTTAATGTGCTGACCATAATTACATATGTAACTTTCTTTATGTTGGTACAATATTGTGCATTTTACAAAAATCAAGAGACTTTTTTCGTTGATGACATTCTCTGTATGACATTGTGTTAATATTAAATTTAAACCCTTAATGCAACTAGACCGCATCTTCCCAAATCTCATAAAAAGTTGTTTTAAAATTTATTTATCAAAACCCATTCAGTCCAGATGACAAAAAAGAAGGAATATTATTAAAAGATGAAAATCTTTGTCAGCATTCCTTGTGATTCACTCTTCGACACAAGTGATCAAACTCATTTCAATTTCTTTTCAATTTTTTTTCCCTTTTAAATGAGTTTTTTTAGATAGACAGAAATAATCAGATCCACCCCTTTTCGTGCCCCTCCATTCTCCCTTCGGAGTATACTGACATGAATACCGTCGCGAGCCCCACGGCGTTCGGTTGAGATTCAGCCAGCATATGAATGGCTGATGAGCCACCGTGAATCACGTTCCTACTTTAGGGAGGTTAGAAGCAGAAGGGAAGGAAAAAGGAGTTGTGTCAAGTGGCCTGGCTCATGCTAAATGTCACTATTCATCGGTGTGAATAGAAATGTGCTGCTTTGATCTTTCGGCGGAGTTTTTAATATGTTTATTTGTCTGTGAATAAGCAGATTATTTGTCATCATTTTCAAGTTTTTGTCATGGCTCAGCATTATGAAGAATATTTGTTTCAGTTTTTTTTTATCTGGTTTTTCTTTCTTCTTTGTTTGGAAGTTTTGTAAAAATTAATTTAGTGGTAAATCATTTGTATGTGGACTAACGGCAGATGTTGTTCTTATACCACTTAGCTAGAATATTTTTAACCTTTCCATCATACCACTGAAACATCATGTATGTAAGCCCACAAAAGTGGCTTAGTCCACAAAAGTAGCTTACATGAGGATCATAAATAATTTATTTAACCTCTAAATTGCTCAATCTTGATAATGGATAGAATCATCACAATTCTTGTCCGTTAAGAACAAAAGACAGGTGTCTGGTCCCGCATGGGTAGCCAGTGCAATTTCGCACTTTGGTTTTTATTCTTGTTAACAATACATCACGCCAAAAAAGACCGAGAGTGAATTATCCAAATTGACGGGGCTTTGTCGTGTAGTATGATGGATGGTGCAAAACGTCGCATCCTATTTTGTTCTTCGTTCTTGTTACTGTATCCTGAGATGATTAGAATATAAATTGGAAGTGGACCTGTTAAAGCGTTGTGAAGCCGCCGTAAATTGACGAGTGTGTACATCATCACCTGATGCTCGCTGCTCAACCAAAAAGTGCGTTGAGAATGTCAAGGTCAATGGTAAACTGCTCAGTGTGAACGGGGTGGGAAGGCCGCATTGTTGACATTATGAATATTGTATATGGACATAGTACATGTACATGGGGGATACAAGTGTATGGCCAACACATTTGAAATGGGTTTTAGCAAATATATTCTAGCATCAAAAATATAAATTGACATTTTATATAAAGAGCTTTAAAGAAAGCAGGGTTGTCAGGGGTATGAATGTGTATCTCCCCTCCCCCCAAAAAACTAAAAATGACTTAATAATTCATATTTGCAATGTACATGTACATGTAAGTGCTGGAAACTGCATTGTGCCATAATGTGCATGTTTAAGTAATACTAAGACTAAGCCTACCAATTCCATACTTAATTCAGAAAATAACAACATGATGTACATGTACATATAGTTTGGATTCTTTGCTTGATTATCAACGTATTCAACATGTCCATCAAACTTTACAGCAGTTTTTCCGTCAATTTGGTAATTTCCAGTGGACATATCAACAGCTGTATAAAAAAAAGTTCCCGATAATTAAGTATTTATTTCCTGTTCAATAATAGTCTCAACATATTCACTTCACGGCATCCAGCCATAAAACTTGGACCCATGCCAAGAAGCCTCGGACATTCATCGTGACTCACACGACGCACGGCCGATAATTCCGCTACAATTTCTTCTGCTTGTCTTATTCCATTACCCCCGAAATCAATGCCTGTGATATTCCACTGGACTCCGGATAACCCAGTTAGCCAAAGTTGCTAGAATCCAGATTAAAATTTGGAGAGCCAAGATTTCACACTCGGCTGTACTTCTGTTTCTGGTGCGAGAAATGTTTAGCTGACTGAATTCTTCGGAAAACGAAATCTATGTACATTTTGCACTTGAACAGACAGTTGAACATGTTCATTGTACATGTACATGTACATGTATGTGTGATATTTTTACAACTCCATTCTGTGATGCTGTTCGAAACGTGCTAAAATTAATATTATTTACGTGGAGTACATGTAATATATACTTGTCAGAATATTAAATAGAATTTGACATTCGATATTATTTTCAATATTATTTTCAATATTATTACACGAGCTCGTGCACATGCAAGCTTTTTAGAAATTAAATCCAACATATTGTATTTCATTATTGTAATTGAAATGGTATTGGCACCATGATGTTTTGCCTAATCTGACGTAAAATAAAAGAATAGATAAATAGACAGACAGACAGACAAACCAACAAACAACCTGAGGTTAATAGACCCTTGAAATGATGAAGCTAGGCATGAAACATGCACTTCCATTTTCCTCCCCCCCCCCCCCCCCCCCGCCCACCACCCTCCCATCTCCTCCCCTACCCCCCCCCCCCTTCCCCCCCCCCCCCTTCCCCCACGCACTCCCCCATCCAAGCTCACAGCAAGCAAGATCTACGTTTCCATTTTGAACTAAGAAATGTCAAGTGGAATCCTGTCGTGGTGTTGCCTGAGATAAACTGATGAACCTGAGGTGACGAAAACAGGAATCGCATAACAGACTAATGGACTTTTAATAGGTTCTCTCTGGGGTGTGGATAGGGGGGGGGGGACGGGAAAACTTGTTCTGTGTTTGAATGATTTGGACCTCTCCGGAAGGAACTCACTCCGACTGGAAACCTGAAAACAATATCGTTTTCCTAAAGAAACATCTTTGTTTTAAGTGCCGATTGATCATGCGTTGATGGCTTATTTTGTTCCTGTGAAATTGAACTGATGACATTGTTTTTAAAGGAAAAGTGCAGAATTTTTTGGGTTTTTTGTGGGAGGAGACTAACATTATTTGTTAGGGTGGCATTAGCAAAACTACACATGTAAGAATGTCAATTGAAAAAAAAAAAATTATTAAAAATAAATTAAAGTTGAACAAAGAAATTGATAGGAGAGGGGAAATGAACCTGCAGTTCCGGTGCTCTACCAACTTAGCTATCCATATGTTGGTACGTGGTTCCCCACAAAGCACCGACGTGTAAATCGTTTCCCTTGCGGTTTACTTGAAATTTAAAAAAAAATTATGAATTGAAATAGTTTATGAATAGAAATGAATTGTTTATCCTGAATATAGGGAAACTAAAAATCTCTCAAACCCATAACAAAATATGCCGAGGGTGATATTTATGGGACTTAAGTCCGTTATTTTCCCATATATAACTGCGGATATTTGTAATGCAGTGGATTTCATTGCTATATGTTGACTAACAACGTTTGTCTTGTTTCTCCCATCCGCGCTAACCCTGATCTTCATTTATCTGTCACAGAGAAAGGTAAAGCAAAAAAACTCATGTTCATTTGCATATTTTGCTCTTGTGCCTTGGCATTTGTTTTTGTAAATCTGTGTTTTGTTTTGACAAAGGGGGAGTCACTATGTGTGGAGTTGATGTACGGTATCTTTGTCAATCTGCAGTGTTTACATGCACTTTCACTATTGCGTCTTTCACGTTTTGTTGTTTTTCACTGTAATTTTCTCTCCACAAAAGCACTGTATTGGATTTAAAATGTATTGCTTGTTATTTCATTCACTGTGAATTTTCAGGGATCTTACACATGTTTCTTTTTTATTTCCCTGCAATGTTTGTTCTCCGCATGTAGTTTATGTTTTTATTTTGGAATGAATTAGTATCTAAAATGTACAAACCATGTTGCCGCTTTCAGGGGTATGCATTTTTTTTTTATATTTTTTTTTGTACGGTTCTTTTTTGATAAATTACACATTTTTATGAAACTGAAGAGTCGCAAGAAATTTTAAATGTATATCATTTTTTTGTGAATATTTGTACGATTTTTACAGATGTCTGGCACGTGGTTTTTTTTTATCCAAACAACATTTTTCTGATTTTTAAAAAATATTTCCTTTTGTTTATTTTTCATTTTTGATAACTCAGTTCTTTGAAATAACGACGGAAGAAACGATCCATATTTTCCTGAATTTAATACAGCTTTGATTAATCTTAAATCCAATTAATTCAAAAATAAGGGAAAAAAATCCAAATTAATCTCCCATCCTCCATCGCACCAGAATTGCAATAACACACACCCCCTGGGCCCCCTTGATTACATCTCCCCACCCCAGGGGCATGTCGTCATGCCGACTGCCCCCCCCCCCCAAGAAAGGTAATACAACAAAACACCTTCACACCAGAAACCTGCGTCTATTTCTCCTCGCATGAAGCTGTATGACGAGAACTCCTTGGCCCAGTTTTCACGCTGCTTGCCCCAAGCCGTGCTGCTCAAACACGGAGAGGGTTTAGTGACAAGTCTAGCACTGCTCCCCGCTGATTGGGAAAGGAACTGGCAAATTAAAAATGACATGTCTGGAGAGATCGCTACGTACGTCTTGGCTCTCCCGTCCAATGGCCTTTATTTTACCTTTACCTGGACTGCACTTTTGCCTGTGAAACTGACCCGTCAGAAAAATAGCCATATGGGAAAATTATTAACGGACTTTACATTTCTTATTTATTTTTTGCACTACTTGGGGATGGGGGGGGGGGGAATAAAGAATGAAATTGGTTATGTACATAATATGGACTCTCAACCAACTTCCCAACTTCATGCAGTTGCTGAGTGGGAATTCACATACAATCAGGCATGCAACTTTTCCTCGTATGAGCTGATTTCCTTGTTTTTCACTTGACATGTATGCCGTAAAAAATTGGGAAACACTACAAAAGTCTTGCAAAGCTTGGAATTTTGTCTTGTTGTTGTCTTACTTCCCAGTTGCATGTCTGAAATAAATAACATGACGTGACGTTTGGTTGATAAGCGTCTCTTGCAGAGTACAACTGTTCCGTTATCAGCAACTTCCAATCATTAATTTTTGACTAGAAGAAACCAGTTTCCCGTAATAACAAAATTTAGAAAAAAAATCAATGTTTCACACTTTTGCGTTTTCCCAATTTTGCAGGGACTTTGCGTATGTAGCTCGGGACAAGGTCACCAAGCGCTACAAATGCCACGTGTTCCGCTGTGACATTCCGGCCAAGGCCATCGCCAACGCGCTGCACGAAATCTGCGCCCGGGTCATGAGCGAACGGCAAAAGGGTCACACCATCTCCATGGTAACACAGGGTCAGATGATCCAGCAGCAGCAACAGCAGCAGCTTATGCAAATGAGGAGCATCTCATTGGACAGTAACAAGGAAGGCATTCCCACAAGCGGTAGGTCCTCGGCCAATCAGAGTTTGTGTTTCAAATTAGCTCAGCCAATAAAAAATCTTTTTACATAAACCCTCGCATTTGGGAGTACAGTGTATATTTTCAATTCAGTGGCATTCTTTTAATTTGGAAAACATTTAATCAGTATGTGGTGAAACCATTGTTTTACATGTAAAGTAACAATTAATCTCTCATGTAACCTTTCAGAAAATCAAAAACTTAATATATAATTTTAATTTTGCTGTTTCATCTACTAAGCTTACTTTAAAATTACTTCAAGCACTCGGACCCACAGACAGTTCTAAGCATATAAGATACAATCATTAATAAACCCGTCTAGCCAATATGCAAATATCAACACAAAAAGCAAATATTTCATCAATATAACTGCCCCGCATTCCAAATTCCCCAAATCGTTGTCGCGGGTTACAGTCTCGAGAAATGAATAGTCAGTCGTTGAAATTCATAAATCCCCCCCAGCTGATACGATCAAAACCTTTCCCCAGAAAAACCAATATTAGCAGCTCGATACCATCCTCACGAAGGCTCACCAGACCCCCACCCCTCTCTCTCTATTATTTGCCCCACCCACGAGCCCCGAGGGAACGCAAATTTCCGGGCGAGATTAGCCGCAATCGCGGCGGGCCAATCCAATTATCTGGTGGGAGAAATCCAAACACAGTGTGGCCGGCCGGCTTAATTAATGCAATTATCATGCACAAAAGGAGGCAGGCTCGGCTGTAAGAAAGAGATAGGGAACCTGGATACTGCTGCGGTAACTAGGGTTTTTTACCTGTGCCTGATGGGAAGATGCATGCCCTGAATACGCTGTCTGAACTAGGCCAAAATCCTGGATCAGCAAGACAGTCAAGATTTACTGCAGAGATGATTGAAGTGAAAGTCTTGTGTTACATTTGTTTTTACGATAACAAATTTGCTATCTATGTGATCTTAATTGTGTGAAGACCTAGGGTTCTTAATCTTTCTTCCTTCAATCGAATTCAAGATTACACGTTGGTCACATGTTTGTGTGGGTTCATAGATGAGATTTGAAGGTTTGCATGGTGGAAAGATACTAAGACAAGATAAGTTTGCGGTAGCACCATCTGAATAAATCTCTTTTGTGAGTATGTGTGGTTCTTAAAAGAACCGGAGGGACTCAAAGTTTCGAACAGTATGCTCTGCCCGTCGTCAGGAGAATGAGGTTCATAGGTTATTTATTTTTCATGATAAGTGGGGTTTAGAGTAATTCTTATTAGAGGTCTCTGTACATTTTAAACTAAAATCTTAACTGAAATAAATAATGCAGTTTGATGCCAAGAGAGGTATCAAACTAAACTGAAGTCTTTGACCGTTAGGATTCAATCTCTGTTGAAGGGAATTTGAATTTGATTCAGCCAGAGTGACATTTTATTTTTTTGTTCTCTCCTGAAACAGTTGATTTCCCTACTCCCAAGGCAGAGCCTATCACAGTATTCCGAGCTCACTACGTGGGCTCAACAATGGTTGAAAAGAATGGAGGTAGGCAGCAAAGTTTTGTTTTTTTAATATAAAATTGATTTCAATTGTTCAGGTTGTTTTTATGTGTTTACATAGCTGGTGCAAATAATTTTTGCTGTAATGGTTTCAAACCTAATGCCTAGATTAAAATACCATATTTGAAAACGAATTTGTACATATTTAACAGCCACAACTGAATTTTTGGCATACAGTTTGTCGGGTGCACCACGAAGTGACGTATCGTCCATGGACTTTATGCACATACGTCATTTCGTGGTGCGACTGATGAATTGTACGAATCTTAATTTGTGCCATTATGGCATTTCTGATTCTACTTTTGTTTTTCTTAGGTATGGAGGTTCTGAATAATGCAATTACCAAAGTATGCGGGGAGATACCAGAGGACCAGTGGTCACCATCGAGAATTGAAGTTGCCGTTTCCACAGTCACCGTCACCAACATCAAGGTAAAAATTGGCAAAGAAAATGCTGAAAATTGTTCCTGAATAGCAAATTTTATTTTTGTTACAAATTGAAGTTTTGTTGATTCGAGCATCAACTTTCTTTTTTTTAATGTCTAAAATTTGTTTCATTGAAAGGAATTGGTGATTTTTTTAATTATTCAGTTCTGGAGACTCAAAATTAATCCACAGAAAATATCTACCGAGCTGAAAATATAGAAAATTTGTGTACAAAGGTTAAGAAAAGTAGTCATTTAAACCCAAAATATTAAAACCTCATCAAATATTCATCATTATTGCAAATATTATATTTAATTATTATTGTTCATATTATTGTTTCATTTATGTATTTTCAGACCAAAGAAGTCATCACGGAGAGCAGAATACGATTCCTATCATTCCTGGGCATTGGAAATGACATCAGGTAAAACCAAAATTTCATCTGCAATCAAGATTCATCTTTCTATAAATACAATTGCGTTGTCTACAAATAAACACTTTTAATTCCTTCTGCTGGACTGTTTCTTCTGCGTAGACAATTTGCGTACATCATGTGCGTGGGCAAGCAGAAGTTCCAGTGCCACGTCTACAGCTGCGAACATTCGGCGGGAGGACTGGCCAAGTCTATTGAGGCTGCTTGCAAGGTACGTAGCGTAGGCCAACCCCTAGATAAGAGCTACGTGATGTACTGGTTCCTCCTGGTTACGCGAGGTCATCCTCCTTTTCTTTGATCCTTTGTGGCCCAGGTTCGAATCCGAACCAAGCTGCATGTGGAATAGGTTTCTACCTGAAGCTGTCTGTTTGCATGTCTCTTGAACATTCTGCATCAAAGTGACCCTGTGCACTGTTTATGCACCGTTCTTGATGCATGGTATGCAACAACAGTTTTCGGACTTGTTTAAAGTTGCATATTCCGTGCTTTAAAAAAAAACTTGACTTTTTCTCGTTATGAATTTTCAATTTATTTGTTTTGTTTTTAACAAAATTAATTTGTTTCTTTTTTTTGGGCATCAGCAACCCTATGAAAAGGGCTTTCATTTGCGCACAAATGAACCCCGCACCCTACGAGAGCCGAATTATCGTCTGGCAGCCAATAATTCGAATTTTGTGAAGAAATAATTCAATGACTAAACGTTGGTGGATATTTTTGTTCTGTGTCTTATTCAAGAGTGAACATCTTTTGATTGCATAGATGCAAGGGTTTATTGTACTGCTCGGAAAATAGTAATTGAAAACAAAATAAATCTATTTTTGGAGGCGAAGTCAAAAATAGCAGGGGAATACATCTTAAGAAAGTTAGAATTATTGAAAGTTGTTCTTGTTTCATTTTTCTCCAGCTGAGATACCAGAAGTGCCTGGACAATCGGCCCAAGGGTCAGCATCTCATGTCTGAGAATTCCTTCGACGGAAGGGTGAGTTAGGAGCAAAGGATTGCTGTCGGCTCGTTTATAGGTTGACTGGAGCGATGCATTGCATCATTGGATTATTAAACATGTTCTTGTCAGTACCTAATGTTGGTTAAAGTATCACGATTTTAGAAAAAAACAACTAGTGTCCTGAATTTTAGGTATGAAAATTTCTTCTGCTGAATGTTGATGCGTAGATCTTTAACCTTTCTCGATTCCTAGTACATGTATTGGAACTTTTTCTGCTCTGGAACTTAGCAGCGATTTTACCAGAGCCTCAAACGTTGATGTACAAACTCTTACTGACAAGAAACTGAATTGAAATAGCTGATATTTTCTGTTTGAAAAAAAAAGACACAAGTTACATTTTTCTCGTGTTGATTTTACAGACCTGGGGATGTGCCCTGAAGAACGGCGTACAAAACCTCTTCAGCAAGTTCAGCCGGCGCGGCCACAAAGAGGCCCCCATCAGTGCAGTATAAAGGTCACAGGTCACGCAGGTCAAAGGTGAAAGGTCAAGCCTGCTCGCAGACTTGACGTCTACGCAAGAAAAAATGTGTTGATTGTTTTCTTGTTCGCCAGCAAATGCTGACCTGATGTTTTGTATTTGGAGATGGAAAGAACTTTTATGGAAAAGAAAAGTACCTATAATTTAAGTCATATCACGTCAACTGTTACAGACTTCTCAAATATTTCTGACTATGAAATAATTGCCACTCTTGCATATCAAAAAGTGATTGGCATTATTAAGCTAGGAAAATCTTGTCAGCTGTGTACTGTATGCAAGAAAGTAACGCTGCTGAAAAAGAAGTTATTTAAGGATGGTGCGTAATATGCTGCTCATGTGTGCTGAACCTAAGTGGGAAAGCAAATTGTCGTGTTTGCGTGTACATGTTCTGCGATGGATGATGGTGATTTATTTATTGAGAAAAAAATTGTGGTCGAAACCACTGATATTTACGTATGTGTGTAAATCCGATTCTAACAAAGTTAAACTTGTTGATAATGGGGAAAATGTCATATCTGCGTTGTCAGTTTTTATAAACTGGCCAAAATTCACAGCTTGAGGGCACCTGAGCAAGGTGGCCATATTGTTCATCAAGTTTTCCTGGGGACATATCAATATCTCTCAAAGCCAAAGCTGTGCAATATGTAAAATATGTCGATTACGAGAGATGGTTTTAATAGCATATCAATACTTGTCTGACACACAGCTGCTGCATTCATTATTTGTGATCGGGCAAAATCTTCCCTTAGGCAGATGAAAGCAAAAAGCTGGTTTTCACTGACGTAAGAAAAACAACTCATTCTGCAATCTGTATTCAAAGCCTGTCAATGTTTTCTTGATTTTCTCCAGATTTCTGAAAAACAACGAAAAACACCTGTCGCAGTTAATGTTGTATTTGTGTAAGGATATACCTTCAAGCTATTAAAAAAAAACACTCGGCATCTGAAATCAAGATCGTAGAGTGCAGAAATTAACATTGCAGACTGCAGAAAAGTATTCGACAAGTTGAATGGAAAGCAAAAACAGATAATTATTTACAAATTATTTTATTTTACAGAAATTTGAGGTGACTAAGGTCCACATCATGTGCAAAAATCTCATTTGATGACTGTAAGAAATATAATGTATGTTTTGAAGAAAAATGTTTCTGTTAATTCAGATTTAGAAGAGTTTATATACCAAATGGACATGGCAAATAAAGATACTCGTTCAAAGGATATTCCTAAAAAAGTATTCATAATTAGCTGGGGATACTACCCAACAGTACACTGATACTTGTAAGATATTCTGGAGTGTGTAGATAACGTGATATTTATTTCATTCATTTATTCAATTCACAATAATTAGACAATTTTTGGATCTTATAGGTTCAAATTGTGTGAAAAATGTATACAGAGGAAGTGGTGTGTATGAGTGCGTGCCAGTGGCACATGTGAAATTTTTGTCATTGTATTCTCAAAGTGTATGTAATTATCGGTACCATAAAAAAACCAAGCAGCTTAAATTTAGTCTGAATTACTGTAGCAAGCTTTGTGGTCCTTGATCGATGGTTAAAAGTAGAATACTCAAGTGTACACATACAAAGAAAAAATATCTTAATTAGCAAGTAGAACAAATGTTGGATTATACAGTGTAGTGTACATAAAGTGAACGTTACGCAGCAAGTGTGTAATTGCCATTGGAAATATTTCCTTTCACGTCATTTGTCTGCAATATGTTTTGAAGAGTTTTTTTTTTTAATGGATTGGGGCTAGTCGAGGTCATGTGATTGCATTGAAGTCAGTGATTGGTCAGTGAGGTGTCAAAGGTCGCCGGCTTGCGGGCGCGCATCCGGTCCAGTGGTTGTCCATCTGCTTGTCCTTGATTGAAGCTGGTTTGCAATTCATGTTTTGTGATTTTGTCCCGATTATAGATTTGTACATCTGGAAATTGGCTTGTGAGCCCCAATTATGGGGGAAGATTTTGAACGATCGTCAGAAAAAGATACTGCACAAGAAAATGAAAGGACTGTTACAAGTTTGATGCTAAGATTGCACATTCCGAATTTAAGGATACTGCAATTGAAGGAGACAGAAAATAGTGAAATCTCCTCTTTTTTTTGGTAAAGAAAGGAGCAAGTGATCTCTAAACTATCACAGATCTGGAAATGTACTGTTGGCGGATAAATGGAAGTTTCTATTAAGATGAGATATGTAAGAAACATGGGGGAAAAAAGGAAGATGTAACAATGTTTGAATGTTGGTTCTTCGTACTAAAAAAGGTTGAACTGAAATTGGTCTAGAAAGTTGATTGTTTTTTATACCTAAACAGCTTTGGTTTTAAAGAAACTAATGTCTTTGTTGAAAAATGATGTCATTCCAAATGATATTAATACATTTCAGCCGCATGTTATAAGGAGCAGTGTATTTCTCATAACTGTAGCTTAAGAACTTAATCAATAGTGTAAACGTGAAGGTAGTGCAAAATCTAAACTAAGGGTAGCGTAAATTCTAAGCATGAGAAAAAGACTACCATTTTAATGACATTATTGTGTGGAGTGTATATTTCAGAACAACTTGGAATTCGGGAGGTCACAAACAATCTTATCAAAAGATGGGAGGGGTGACATGTTTCGGTCATTTAATCTTTTTACAGGGAACCGGGAGCTCGTCATTGGATTTCTGTAGAAAATATTTGTGACAAATGGTAAAAAGGGTGGACTTGCAAAATGTGTAATAAAAGTCAAATTAATGGTAACACTTTGAGCATTTTGCACAAGCTTAAACGTACATGTAGTTGCACAGCACATTGCATTGAAATTAGGCCATGAATCTGGTGCAAATAATATATGTGGTCGTTAGTCTGAGAAACATGAATTGTCGAATGTAGGCCTAGAATATACTCAAAAGTACATTAATCGTAAAATACAGAATTCTTGTACTTGTAACGTGACTGCAACTTTTTGCCTCTTTGTGTATTCTTGAATATAAATACATGATAATGAATATAAGCTACAATTCGTTAAACTGACTAAAATGTGATACTTGCTAGTTGGTCCAGTGCTAATCCTGGTTATAGTTGGATTGTAGTTGTAGTTTTAGCCCTTAATCTGGTTTAAAACTAGTTTATAGTTTAGTTATAACACTTTGGTGGAGATGAGGGGAAAGTGAAGTTTTTTAAATTATTGGAACCAAATTTTTACGCCATTCTAAAAAGCAATGATTTAAGTAATGTTATTGACGTGAGTGTCTCCTTATTTTGAGGACATGTTATTGGCAAAAGAACGTATTCTTTTCTTGTACTTATGAATCAGAGAATTAAGTTAGACAGATAGAGAAATTTACTTCTAAGGTGCAATTTGATAACCAGTTCCATCCTCACTAGTTTAAAATTACTTAAACCTAGTTTTAGTTAGAGACACAATATTTATGAAGTTAGTGACTTATGGAAAGATGTACTTCAAAACGTCAGTACAATTGTCAATACATTTCCTTTTTATATGAATTTTTGCCAAAAACCTGAAATTATTTTTCATTTTCTGGTTTTGTTTTGGAGTTTGTGGTTCACCCACCCTTGTCCGTGTTGTACAGCTTACGTTTATTTAAATAACATAAAAATATGAAAAGTCTGTGTGTTATATGATTAGTATTTTTTGCACAAGTGTGACATTGGTTGTTATACCTCTATAGGAATGTGTATGATACTTTTTAAATGATTGTAAATTGTTTTTATGTACCACTGTATAGATTTCAACCTTGCCAATTATTTGTCACCAAAGCATTATGGGTATTTTTCAGAGGAAGACTCCATTGTTTTCGGGGGGTGTTCTAACAACTGCCAGCGCTTATGCGAGATTTCATGATCCTGCCTTTTGCTACTTGATTTCAGGTGTTTACAGTCGCTGCTTTCCAATCTGATCCCTAACCTAATTAGCATAATTCAATCTAGTATGCTAATGATGCAATTTACATAAATTTACATTTGGTGTACCACTCATCCAAGTGAATGCTGATGAAGCCCATTACCATTGCAATGGGATCCTAATCACGTTAAGAACAGGACGCATGAGATTTTTAACTCGCAGGAATTACCGTAGTGGTTCATCTGATCACTTTAATTTCACTAAAGAGATCTGTTTTGCATTCAAGGCAATTCGACTGGAAATGTGTACTTCTTGCATGACCAGGGTACAAACATGTATGGATAAAAAACAAATTGCATGGAGTTTTGTGTCATATTTCCTCAATTATTATTTTTGTATTCATCAATATTTTCCATTCACTTGTCACCAACCAGACAACTTTAAACTGTGTTAGCTTTTAAATGAGCCAAAGTCATATATGAATCAGACAAAATATCTTCATTGAATTGATAATTGCAATTAGGAAAGTGAAAAACATAGTAAAAATGGAAGTCTTCAAAAATACCCATAATGCTTTTCAAGTCGTTTGAAATGTGTCAGGTGCAGCATTTAAAAAGAAGAGTTTTAAAGATTTTTATGTTTATCACAATTATGGTTGTGAAAAAAAGGAGATATACATAATTGTTTTATTTGTAGGTTTCAGCGCTGATTGAGGTTTCAGATTCTGTGTTGTCATGACAACCCACACTCCCCAATATATTTGACGCGTGTGTTTGTGTGTGATTGGAATTGTGCAGAAATGTATGGTCTATTATTGTACAGAATAAAAAAAAAAAAAATTAAATTAAAAAAAAATAAGAATTAGTTTATGCACTTCATGGCTGATTATGTAAAGCGAAGTGATCATGATATTGTTATTGATATTATTGAAAGTATTATTGTGATTATTGAAACTTTATTGGTATGATGATAATTTATGGTAATTATTACGATACCTTATTGTTGTCATTATTATATTGTAAAAAGTAGAAAGCTTGCCAATTTTATTTTTCTTACGGTATTTTGTGTACACATTTCACAGCAGACTCTTTACCACAAAATATTTCTGCTGCATAGTTTTTATGTTGTGCGCGGGTTATCATGGAATTCAGGGTCAGTAATTTGATTCTTACACGGCCTACAATTATGAAATTTTTTCAGATAAAAAGATTTGGAAGTATTGCATAGTAATTTCTTTTCAATGTAAATGAAATTGTAAAATCGTCAAACTTGAAAACTTTATTACTTGGAGCCCTTAATAACTGTATGAATTTCAACTTTCTGAAGTTGGTTTTACGGTCTGAATATCTTTCAATAATAATTCTTCATTTTTTTGTGATAGAGGAATCAAATGCAAAACAGGATGTTGTTGATCCAAAACATTAATGACAGACTAAATTAAGTCTTTGTTTTCATCACCACCGAAAATTGATTTATTTGCGTAACATTTTGAAGAATTTCCCCGAAGATAATTGGAGTCATTAAGGTGCATAGTCATAGGTTCCCTTGTAAATTGTATTTGTATTAAAATCATAATGTATTTTTTTTTCGTTTGTTGTTAAGGACATTTTTTTTTTTTATGAGAGGGATTTGTTCCCACTTTTAGAGCGTTATTTTTCTATGAATTAAGAGTCTGTTGTGAAAGAAATCGTTGAAAAAAAGATCAGATATTTATTTTATAAGCAAGCACGTACAATGGCTTTTGCCTTGACAATCTGACATCCCCAAGAACTGGATTTTGTTCTTCATCAAGAATTTAGATATTTTGAATGGATCATTGGAGAGCCACAGAGAAAAGTAGGATCTGATCATTGAAAGAACACAAAAATACTTCTGTCACTTATTTGGGGTAATTTTTTTTTCTGTTACAGAATAATAACCCAATATGTTAAGAATCTTTGATGAATCACCTCAAATGAAATGCAGATCCCAGTATGTAGAAAAGCGAAAAGTTAATATTCAACTTGCAAAAACAACTTGATTGGCTTTTTTTGCATTCATTAACTGATAGTTATTGGTAAGGCAAAACTCATTCTGTGTGCAGCATTTATGCACTTTTGTGTCAATATGTGGATAAAAATAAGTAACCAAATAAAACCAGATGTACTTCTGCTAATAAATGTTGCAACGCATAAATATGACCAAAGAAACATGTTTGTGTGTCATTATTGTGTCTTTTAATTTTCAGTGGCATTGCAGATTAGTCTAAAGTAGGGGTTGTACAATCTCCCACACATTATGGTTCCCAGCCACAATTTTTTGCAGTCGCCCCCTCCCTTTCTAGCTCTAGTGCTCCTTCCCCTCCTACTAGTTGCTGGCAAAATAAAAACAAAAACAATCCTGTTACATGTCACTACATTTATTTTCATATTAGTATGAACCTGTATTTTCAACATGGAAATGAGATGATTCAAATTTATAACAACTATATGATATTAAAGGGACTTTTTGATATTTTCCCCCCTTTTGTTACTTATGTTAGCAAAGCATAAGAGAAGCGACTGGTAATCAAGACTAGCAATCTTTCTTACTCTGATTGCCAAGAGAGGGCGCTATACAATAATAAGGGAACTGAAAAACTGCGCCGGATGCGAGATGGAGGGGTTGTGTTTGTTGCTGTTTGTAACTTTTATGAATTTTGGTTTAGTTCAGAACGAAGGTGAGAAATATATCAGCTTTGGTTGATTAATAATTAATTTATAAACATTCATAGGGGATAATCGTGTAGTTAAGGGCACCTCCCTTTTTTACTTGTTCCGTTCAAAAATTACTTTTGCATTTCATGATTTGCAAACACGGCAAATGACTAGTCCGAGTAACTTGGACCTAGCCCCACTAGTGTGGCCGTCGTCGGTATGCTGCGCTGAACCTAGGTTCAGCGCAGCATACCGACGGCCACACTAGTTGGGCTAACTTGGCCCCAACTTATCGCCTTTTTAACATTCGGATGTCCGAATGTTAAAAAGGCGATAAGTTGGGTCCAAGTTACTCGGACAAGCAAATGACCTAGTCCCATAAATGTGACGTATTAACGTCACATTTATGGGACTACAAATGACCCTCAAATTTTCCAAAATAAATTCTGCAGCCCCAATTTTTTTTAATGTTTTTAATCAAAATTGTTCTTGGAAAGATTCCCATATCTGGCCATCAGTAATTTTTCCCTTAAATGACCTATCAGCCATCAGAAATATTATGTCCTAAAATTAGCAAGGACGAATTTTGAAATTTTACTGAGAAAACACTTTAAAATTTTCAGACCAGTCCCATAGGGTTTGTGCACGGTGCACAGGGTGACAAGTGATGGCCAGATACAGGAATTTTTCTTTGTTCTTTTTAAATTTTAGTTACATAGATACATTTTTTAGTTCGCTAAATTATATACCATATTGAATATCACAATTAACCATAGGGCATTAGGGGTGTACTTTTGGTCTTATACCAAGTTAACCTTTTCTTTGATTGCTCACAAAGTAAACAAATTCCAAGGTCACTGATATCCACTCCACAAAATTCCTTTTAATTCGTGTTTGAGTTTACATTCACCAAAATCTAGCATATTGCACTCATATCTGACAGTTGAATATTGAGCTCGGCCTTATTTTCATTCTTCACGGATAGGAGATGCAGACAGACCCAACGTCTTATTCCTCGTTGTGGATGATCTGGCTCCGGTCATCTCAAGCTATGGAGGCAGAGCCCTGACACCTAACATTGATCAGTTGGCTTCACAGTCGGTCAGGTTCACCAACGCATATGCACAGGTATATTTTAGACATGACATGTCATACATTCATGTTTTATAACACGAGCCTCGAATTTAACTTTTTTATCCACTTACCCAGCACTTACCCACTCCAACATTTAACATACCCATTTTCAAATCTGCCCTACCAGATTTTATTTTACCATCAGCTAGACAATGATAACATTTTAGCATACTGTAACGTGCGTCACCTAGTCGGTCCCTTGCCTCTCTGGCCCAGTCCCGATGGAGTTGAAGCACCTGCGGTTGGAGGCCACAGCACCAAGTGACGAACAGCACTCCCAAATCTGCTCCACCAGGGGAAAGCGCTAACTCAACTTGTGTTTGGGATTTAGGGGATTGGGTGGATTAATCTGTGGTTTTGGGTGGATTAGCCTGTGGTTTTGGGTGGATTAACGTGTGGTTTTGGGTGGATTAACCAGAGGTTTGGGCGGTTGACCAGTGGCTCAGGGTGGCTGACCAGTGGCTTAAGTGGCTCAAGTGGGGGAGACTTACACCCTAATTAGCGACAATTAGACAATAAAACAGAGACAGGAGACTTAGGCCGGAAAAAAAAAGTCTCCGGTTTCTGGTATGGAGCTTGCCCCAAAAGTGGTGCGGCGACGCGGCTTTTTTTTTTTTTTTTCCCTGTTTTTTTTTTTTTTTTTTTTGGCTTCAAATGTCGGCTGATGACTGCAAATGGTGCCCGACTAAACTTAGTGCAAATATATGGGAGTCCAGAGAGGCCACATAAATCTTATTCTCGATCATAACCCCTTCTAAAAACACGTTAAAATTGTGCAGCAGCAGAATTCCAGTCAAACCAGTGAGTTTGGCGGTTTTGAAACATCATCTTGTATTGAAAAAAAAAACTTGTTTATTTTGCCGACGCGTATGGCTACGGCGACGCGCGCACATACCAGAAACCGGAGACTTTTTTGGGGGGCCTTATTTGACTTTTTTGGTCCCACCAGGCGAAGAAGTGAGGATTATTCCTTCTCCCTCTGCCTTTTATAGGCCAACATGATCCAATTACATTTGCTAACAATAAATGCACATCATTGCTAAAGTATTCAGAGGGTGGTAACCAATCAAACTGCAGTATTGCTCAGTAGCTGACTTAAGCCACGCCCACTAACTGTATGGGCCAATTGGGGTCTACTGCTCTAGTATGAGTGACTTGGCACTAAAGAAAAGTCACTATACAGTTCATGTTAATGTATAAAACGTATAGTTGATGATTCATCACAATACATTTTCCCCACTATGCAAGAACTGTACGTGTAATTAGTTGAAGTAATTTGGATTTGGTTTCGAATGACCAAAAATATACATGTCATTCAAGATTACATGTACTTTGGTCAATTTAATTCCATTGTTGACCCTGACAATTTTTAAAAGGCACCGTGCGCAGTGAAGACGAAATTGGCACTGACAAAGGCCGAATAGACACTTAGTTTTATGTTTTGGGTCTTAAAAATAATACCTGAACATTTGGATAAAAAATATAACACAATGTGAGTCCATATTAAAATTAAATTCACCCAAATCTAGCAGATTTTTATTTGTCAGAGAGAGGAGATGTGGACAGACGCAATGTCTTATTCCTCGTTGCGGATGATCTGGCTCCGGTCATCTCAAGCTATGGAGGCAGAGCCCTGACACCTAACATTGATCAGTTGGCTGCACAGTCGGTCAGGTTCACTAACGCATATGCACAGCTATATTTTAGTACTAACTAACAAGGTGAAGCCTTATTATTAATGAACAGCATTGCCTTTCAGTAAAAAAAAAATGATATAAAAATATTTGCTTAGGAAAATTGTCAAATTTTTTCTTGAAAATTCATGAATACCTAATAGTCAGACAGTTTCAGTCCTTTTGGTTGAGGGCCCGTCACGTGAGTGGCTTTAAACAGCTGATAAAACACCAACTGGTTTTAAACAGTCTGTCCTGCACCACTGCTTTCTGCACTCCATTGTGCAGTACGCACCGCACGCACGCCATACTCCATAAAACGGAGATTTAGTACTACACACATGAGGAACGTACCATAGATATGGCCAGGGGTGTTTCACAAAACACGAGGAAAAAAGTGTTGAACAAAATCGTTGGAAAATTGTGATTTTTTTTACTTATTTTGATTTTTCACTGAACGGTATTTTTGAATGGGAATATATGTGCTTGGCCGGGATTAAACAAGTGTGTTTACAACCGGCTAGGGTACTGGTCGTGGATAATGACAAATGTTTGACTTTCATATTAAACGAGAATCTGTTTGACCTTTTGCAGCAACCACTGTGTGCTCCATCTCGAGTGTCCTTTCTGACAAGTCGACGCCCGGATACGACAAAGACCTACTACAACGGAGCCTTATACTGGCGGACGAACGTGGGCAATTTCACCACGTTACCACAATATTTCAAGGACGCTGGTTACTTCACTGCAAGCATCGGTAAAATCTTCCATTATGGTGGGTTTAAAGTTTTTCTAGTTTCATTATTTTGAATCCTTGAACCGCGTTGTCAGTTGCTTCAGGTGTGTTTTAGGTAAAGATAGAAGTTACATTCAACAAACATGAAAAGGTCTTAAACTAAAGCCAACTGCCTAGACATTTTTGCTAGTCACCTATAAGCACTTTTTGTAACTACCAAGTTTCAAGGTACATCAAGCCCGATGTAAAGTAACGGTGGCTGGGCTCCACCTTCCTCAATCCTACAAAATCCCCCACTGTGCAGGATGCCAGTGGCACACTCTTTGTACCTACCAAGTTTCTAGAGGCATCAAGCCCCACGTAAAATAATAGTGGCTGGATCCTACCTTCCTCAATCCTGCAAATCCTTCACTACACGGAAAACAAGCCCTGCAGCCTTTCTCCATTCTTCAAAATCCTCCAAAAACCTCCTCATCGATTTTTAGGATCAGGGAGGTTAAGGTCATTACAAATATTTCTGGCCGAGTTTCAAAAGAAAGGAATCAAAATATTTGTGTTATTGTGCCCGGTTGTATTACTTTCTTTAGATTTTTTGTTTTTGTTTGTTCTTGTTTTTATTGTTCAGGTCATGTCAGTGGAGAGGACAATGATTCTCCCTACAGCTGGTCTGTGCGCCCCTATCATGCACCTACACTACCGTATGGGTTTGAAAAGGTACGCTCTTTCTTCAAATGTCTTGGAATAAAGAACTCACAGTACAACTTGTTTTGAAGTCCATGTGTGCCCATTTCGGAACTTGACACTTGGCGCAAGCATGCCTAGTCCACTGTTGGTCTATCAAGTCCATCACAAGTCCTCACAAGTCCTCACATGTCCGTCCAAGACCGTTAAGATTTGTCATGTTTGTGTGCCATAATTCACAGGTTTGCCCAGGATCCGATGGACGGCTCCATTTCAACCTGCTGTGTCCAGTCAACGTGTCCACTCAGCCTCTCGGTTCGCTACCGGACATCCAGACCACTGACCACATCCTAGAGATCTTCAAGAGTCTGTCCGAGAGTCGCCAGGAAGCATCTGCACCCCACCTGCCGTTCTTCTTGGGGATGGGTTTCCATAAGCCTCACATCTCCTTCAGGTAATGGCCCCTCCCTGCATGACTGTCAAACCGTGCGCATTGACCAATTAGATCCAGACTTTTTGGTCAGGTGACCAAAAGCTTGGTCAAAGTCTTTCATTGTGAGAAGTGTACACAAATAAATGGGCTTTATGGCCAAATCTGCAGTGGTTCAATTTTAACCCGTTGAGGTCAGGTTTATTTTGAGAAGAACAGACCGAGGCACAGGTTTAGTATTCACGCGACCACAATGCCAGGCGGGTCAACGCCATCATTCTCGGGCTTTGCGGGTTTTTCAGTCATCCGACTGACTTTAGGAAAACTTTAGGGTGTATTCAAGGCCTGTGGGGCAAACTGGTTAGCAGGTGTTTGAGACAGGTTGATTCTTGTGAGAAAAAAACACAAGTGCCTGATATTTTTTTTATTTTTAAATTGATTCCTCAGATATCCCAAGGAATATTTGGAGTTGTACCCTCTGGAGTCTGTGGATAAAGCCCCCAACGCATTCTACTCCCAGACCCAGCCCCCAGTTGCTTGGAACCCATTCATGGATGTCAGACGGAGGGAGGACACGACTTCACTCCACTTGCCGTTTCCTTACGGTCCTATGCCCGACAAATACCATGTGAGCTATGGGAAATGGAATTCAGTAGTTTTTTTATCAATCGTACTAGTAATTGGTAGCAATTTCATTTCAGTTTTTACAGAGCTTTGTATTTTTTGGAACTTTGTATTTTTTGGAACCATGCCTAGCCCATTGAGCGCCAAATGAGGACTTCACTGCACATTAGAACCTAATTACAGTTGACTCTCATTAATACAATTACTGTTAATACACATTTTGGTTATAGCAAACATAAAGCCTTGGTCCCGACTGTGCATTGATGTGCACAATGAATGGGGCCGGCACTTCTCTTTAGTAATACACAATTCTGAAATCAACATTTTTGCTAGGTCCGACTAAATTTGAATTAACGAGAGTTGATTGTACACAGTTGGTTTCAGTTTAAAATTATTTCCCTTCCATGCTGGTTTTTTTGCATTTTTTTTACTCTTTGTCATTTCACTAAGAGCACTCAAATTAAGGGAAAAAGACTGAGAAAATTAGGGTTGAATTGTATAAAAATGGGCTGTTCATCTGAAGGAATATTATGCATCATCTCAAAGTCAAATTTACAGGTATCTGATCTTTTCCGACCCGAATTTGTAATGACCAAATATTTTTGTAGACTTTCTGCTCTACAATCTATTCCTAAGGTTTGGGGATGACACATATCGTATGAACATTTTATAAGTCATTCATTTGAGTGATTTGTTTTAGTATCTGATCAGGCAAGCGTACTACGCCTCAACCACCTACATGGATTATGAACTGGGACGTGTCTTGGCTGGATTAGAGGCGGCCGGGTTTGCAGATGACACTATCATCAGCTTCATCTCCGACCACGGTGAGTTTACTGTTGTATTTTGGCGAGTAATTGTTCATAAGATTTAATAAGGACAAAGATCCTTTGGCTTGATTGCCTTTAGCACCATAGTAATAGTACTCTCTCCCACGGGCATTGCTCAAATAGTGTCACCTGACCTGCTGTTGTGTCCAAACTGTCTGCTTTGAACAGCTCCCCCAATAGTGAGTTGTCAAGCAGCCCCCCCCCCCTTTTTTTGTTTTGCTGCGGTCTGGCAACAGTCCGCTGTACTGTGTCTGTACTGTAAATAGAAGACTGAAATTGTAGCTAAACATAAGCAAGGGGGAAGGTATGCTGTGACGAATTTGTTCAGGTTTTTGTTCTGTATGTCTACAGGATGGCAACTTGGTGAGCATCAGGAATGGTCCAAGTATAGCAACTATGCCACAGCCACGAGAGTTCCATTCATGATCCACGTACCAGGCATAACAGACACTGTGAAAGAAGGCTCCAAGAAGCCCAAGTTTCCTCTAAGGGATCCGTTCTTGGAGTACAAGTCGACATCGAGGGTTAGAGGGAAGAGCAAGGCCACAAGCTCGCAGGGAGTGTTGGTCAGCGATGCTCTGGTGGAGCTAACAGATCTATTCCCGACCCTTACCGACTTGGTACAATTACCTGTGCCACCCCTTTGTCCTGTCAACTCATCCCAAGTCGACACTTGCGTGGAGGGTGTTAGTCTTGCTCCAATCATTGTAGATACAGCTTTGAATCACTCAAGCAGGAGTAGTCAGTCCTGGAAGAAGGCAGCTTTCACCCAATACCCTCGGCCCTCCGACACCCCCCGACCCGACAGCGACCAACCATCCCTGGCCAACATTACCATCATGGGATACTCCATGATCACAGCCAATGGCTACCACTACACGGAATGGGTCGGCTTCAATAACGTCACCTGTGAGATGAATTGGAGCGACAACCACGCGAGAGAGCTGTATATTCTCCACTCAGATCCTTTGGAAGATACCAACGTTGCCGATGTAAAGAAAAATGAACGGCTTGTGCAAAGACTATCTAGTGAGCTTCACAAAGGGTGAGATATGCTCTACCCAAACAAGTCTAACAACTTGCCATAAGGCAAAAAAAAAAGTCTCCGGTTTTCTGGTATGCGCGCGCGTCGCCGTAGCCATGCGCGTTGGCAAAATGAAAACGTTTTTTTTCAATGAAAGATGATGTCTCAAAACCGCCAAACTCACTGGTTTGACTGGAATCCTGCTGCTGCACAATTTTAATGTGTTTTTAGATGGGATTATGATCGAGAATAAGCTTGATGTGGCCATAATATTTGCACTAAGTTTAGTCGGGCACCATTTGCAGTCATCAGCCGACATTTGAAGCAAAAAAGTCAGGTAAAAAAAAGAAGCTGCGTCGCCGCACCACTTTTTGGGCAAGCTCCATACCAGAAACCGGAGACCTTTTTTTTTTGGCCTAATACAATTTATGACTGTGTGCAAACATGACAACTCATTTTAAAAAAAATTGCAATGTTCTTAATTATAATATTATGAATAAATTTATATTATGTCAGTCAAGGATATGATTCTTAGACTGGTAAATTGTGTCACATGTAAATAAGTTTTTATATTAAAAACACTAAATTGAAAGGCTAACTTTTTAATGGGTCAAGAAAAGCTAAATGCAATAGCTAACTTTGTTTATGGGTCAAGACTTGTTCACGGTTCCAATTATATGGAGAATGACACTATTGAAATATACTTAAAAATCTAGCATATTTTGTTTGTTTCAGGAAAACAACTGTTCTTTAATTGTAATAACAAGTGGCTGATACTAGTAATATATGTATGGGTGTTGGTAAACTCACAATTACTAATAAAATCATAAGCGCACAAATCCTCCAGGACTGGTGCTCAAGGCGCTACATCATTATTACCCCTGCTTATTGGGCCCATGAAACATTCCAAATACCATCTCAGCTCCCTGGGGAGTATACAGCTCGATGCTGCCTGTTAGTAGCAAGGAAGCTAGAACCAATCACTGTTCACAATAACCATCTCTGCCCTCACAGGTGCCCATTTACTCCTGGGTGGAGAGAAGCAATGAGTGACAATGTAGATCGATACTTGCAATAAAAACATCTTTATATTTAATGAAAGGTTTGCGGAAACACCATGTGCGAATAATTTCTCAACTAAGAGAATGGTTCTGAAAAAAAAAGAACCAGAGGTATAAACTCGACGTTCCAGTCAGTATGCTCTGACCGTCTTCACTCTCCTTAAGATGGTCAGAGCATACTGACCGGAACGTCGAGTTTATACCTCTGGTTCTTTTTTTTTTCAGAACCATTCTCTTAGTTGAGAAATTATTCGCACATGGTGTTTCCGCAAACCTTTCATTATTTAGTATCTCCACCATGCAAAGCGTCAAATCTTACTTATCTTTATATTTAATGTGCAATTGTCATTCAGACTTGCAATGCCTGTCGTCGGCCAATCCGTCGGCGGCAAACCCAATGTTGTCTAAACGAATTGGTGCTATTATGGAGGTATTGTGAACTAGTAAAAATCTCATCTTTTATGAAATAGTACGTAGATCGGTATTTAATAAAAACATCTTTGTATATTTCAATTAATTAATGTTCACTTGTCATTCATATGCGGTCCCATTCTGTGGTGCTGTAAAGCAGGAGTAAACCAAAACACAGCGTTTGTGTGGTGGTTACCTTTAGAGCATGATATAGCTACCTTGTGGAAAGAACTCTTTCATTAGAATGATGAACGTGATATTACTGTGAACTTGATGACACTTTAATGCTATCTCTACAATGTGAGTGTTCCACAAGCATTGACAGATGGCGCACAGTGTATGCAGAGGTTTGGCACACATTTTGGACAGCAGTTGGCCGCACACTGTGTACCATTCACCCACTTGACTTTTTTAAGCAAACTTGCAATCAGATCTCAGAGTGCCCACGCTTGAATTTCATGGACAGCGGAAACACCGCCCTCTACCTTCCTTGCACATGGGCAATACCAGACACCGTCCAACATTTCTGTTACAGAATAATAACCCATAATGTTAAGAATATTTGATGAATCACCTAAAATGAAATTTATTTTCATATTAGTATTTTCATATTAGTACATTTATTTTCATATTAGTATGAACCTGTATTTTCAACATGGAAATGAGATGATTCCAATTTATAACAACTATATGGAAATAAAGGAACTTTTGGGGTTTTCCCCCCCTCTTTTGTTACTTAGCGAAAGTTAAAGAGAAGCGTCTGGCAATCAAGACTAGTAATCTTTCTTACTCTGATTGCCAAGAGAGGGCGCTATACAATAACAGAGGAAATGAAAAACCGGGGCCGGATGCAGGATGGAGGGGTTGTGGTTTTTGCTGTTCGCAACTTTTATGAATTTTGGGTTAGTTCAAAACAAAGGTGAGAAGGTCAAGTCAAAATTTATTTACTAACATTTATAAAGGAATAATCGTGTAGTTTAGGGAGAAGAAATTTTGCAACCAGATGCCACTTATGTCTTTGAAAAATGAATAAGAAGAATGAAGAATGTGAAGAATGAGAATGAATACTGCGACATCCCATAGTGCTAATGCTATTTCCCATTTAAATTGTCACCAATTTATTGTTCACACCCCACCATTACGTCGCAGAGCTGGATTCTATCTAGTCAAAAGAGCAATTTTGGCAGCTTCTGGACATCGTTGTTTTTTCGTGGCATGCATATGATACATACAGGGACTTGTAACTTGTCTAGCCTAAACAAAGCACTTCCCAGACTAGTTCCCAGTCCTCCGTTATTACAAAACTTCCCATAGTGGGCAGAAAAAAAGCAATAATAACAGGTTTAATTTGATTCAAATTATCGTAGTTATACGAGTACAGAAGCATAGAACATTTTCTTTCCTCTTTATATAAATTGTTTCCCTTTTAACCGCTATACATTTCATTTAACATAATTATGTCATGCAATGTTTGTTAAGATTGGGCAAAATTCATAAATTGTGCACGTGATATTCCCACCCAATCTTAAGAATGAGCGCTCATTCTTAAGAACGCGTGCTCGTTCTTAAGAATGGGCGCTCATTCTTAAGAATGCGCGCACATTCTTAAGATTGCGTGATTTTCAAGAATGGGCACAACAGAGCTATGAAAATAAAGGAAGGATTAATAAAAACTGGGACTGAGTGAGAAACATTTCCAATTTTGTTAGAAAATGTTCTGACTCTCCATGGACTTTGTACACAACCGCTGAAGTGCCAAAGTGGCGTCAGGTTGCAACATTTTTCGGAAAGATATCTGGCCATCACTTGTCACCCTGTGCACAAGTATGGGACTGGTCTGGGAAAGATTTCCATATACGAAGTTCACTCAACACCCTGTGTACAAACCCTATGAGATTGGACTGAAAAATTCTCAGTGTTTTCTAAGAAAATGCTTGTATTTTCTCACTGCTCAAATTGACTTTGATGACATGAAATTGCTATCTGGGGGCTTGTTAGTCAATACAGAGGAAAATTAGTGAACTTCGTATATGGAAATCTTTCCCTGGTCTGAAAAGTGTTTTCTCAGTAAACATTCAAAATTTGTCCCTGCTAATTTTAACTTTTTAGGACATATCACTTTCTGATGGCTGATAGGTCATTGATGGCCAGATATGGGAATCTTTCCCATTTTTCCTTCAAATTTTCCAAAATAAATTTTGAAGCCCCAAATTTGTTTGTTTATGATCAAAATTGTTCATTTTAGTTAGGTACCTAAGAGAGTATTCATTTTTTTTCCTTTGTAATCAGTGGCTTTAGAGGTATTTTTTTAAGGGAAATCTAGTCCAAGAACCTTTCAGTTGATGATAGTCTGGTTGTAGCCAAAAATCCTGACATTGAATACTAGGTCAGGGAACCAGAATATTCCGAAACAATAGCTGTTGAAAATTGCATTACGGCTGCCGTAACGATAGCCACTGCATTTTTATTTAGATAAGCCTACCTCTAGGTTTTTGGTAATTTGGTAAAATGCGACTTTCATATAGGCCTACCTGTTAAAACACTGCGACTAGAGACGTGTGAGTCACAGCAATTCAGACGCAGTCATCATTTTACCCCATAATTTTCTTCATCATTAAAAACCCTGCCCTTTTTCTACAAAATTAAGCCTGCTGGTATTCTATGCATTATTTTAGGAGCCCATTCCATGTAAGTAATTATATATATTTCAGTTCGCTAAAATACCTATTGAATGTCACGATTAACCATAGGGGATCAGACTAGAGGTGTACTATTGGTCTTTTAACCAATAATGACTTTTTTTCACCAAGTGAACCTTTTCTTTAATTGCTCACAAAACTAAACAATTTTCAAGGTCACTGATATCCACGCTGCAAAATTCAATTGAAAATTAAATTCACCCAAATCTAGCAGATTTTTATTTGTCAGAGAGAGGAGATGTGGACAGACGCAATGTCTTATTCCTCGTTGTGGATGATCTGGCTCCGGTCATCTCAAGCTATGGAGGCAGAGCCCTGACACCTAACATTGATCAGTTGGCTGCACAGTCGGTCAGGTTCACCAACGCATATGCACAGGTATATTTGAGGCATGACATTTGATAATTCATGTTTTATAACACAAGCCTCGAATTTACCTTTTCTACCCGCTTACCCAGCACTTACCCACTCCAACATTTAACTTACCCATTTTCAAATCTGACTTACCAGATTTTATTTTACCATCAGATAGACAATGATTACATTTTAGCATACATTTTCTCCACTATGCAAGAACTGTACGTGTAATTAGATGAAGTAATTTGGATTTGGTTTTGAATGACCAAAATATACATGTCATTCAAGATTACATGTACTTTGGTCAATTTAATTCCATTGTTGACTCTGACAATTTTTAAAAGGCACCGTGCGCAGTGAAGACGAAAGGCACTGACAATCCGAATGGACACTTAGTTTTATGTTTTGGGTCTTAAAAATAATACCTGAACATTTGGATATAAAATATAACACAGTTAAACTGACACATTAATCCTTTCATTTATTTACTGATTCTTTCACTCTTTACTCACTCACAATACAAGGCAAAGCCATATTATTAATATTCATTATTAATAATCAGCATAACCTTTTACTCAAAAAATGATATGAAAAAATTTGCTTTTGGAAACTTGTCAAACTTTTTATTGAAAATTCATAAATACCTAAGGCCAAAAAAAAAATAAGTCGGTCTCTGGTCAGCGCGCGCGTCGATTTTAATCATGCGCGTCAATCTTTTTTTTCCCAAAATGTTCCGCGGTAGCTCCAACAGCGCCCTCTATTGCCGCACCTCAATTTTTTTTACCAAAGAGCACCAAGGAATGGGAAATTGCACCAAGGCAAATGATCGAGGGGCACCAAGGCAAATTATGGAGGACACCAATGTACATGAGGACACCCAAAAAAAGCAAAATAGTACCCCACCTTGTCTGTACAATCCAAGCTTGAAAAAAAAAAAAATCCGCGTCGCTGCATCAATTCCGGAACTTTGGTCTGACCAGAGACCAAGTATTTATTTTTTTTTGCCTAATAGACAGTTTACCCAGTCATTTTGTTGAAGGGCCCGTCACGACGGTTTAAACAGCTGATAAAACACCAACTGGTTCCAAATATTGTCTCCTGCACTGCGTTCTGTGCCCCATCGTGCAGTTCGCACACCGCACACAAGAGGCAGGTACCATAGATATAGCCAGAGGGGTGTTCAAGTAAAAGTTTTGTTGATCGATTTTTCAATTTCGTTGGCAAATGTAACCACAGTAGTACACTCTTTTAAACCAGTGTTGAGTTCATTCCAGTATATGACACCATGTTGAAATGGACCGTTTCTAAATAAAGTAAGTTCTATTTTGTCTCACAAAAAGATCACCTTTCGTGATGATCTACGAGTCCCGTATGAATGAACAGAAGAAGTAAATGAGAATAGATGATTAAAAATTGGAGGGAGCATGTTGTGAGTATATTTAAACATAAGTATACCCAGTTGGTGTGGTAGGGATCATTCAGTTTCAGAATATTAAATTTGGCAAATAAAGGAGTAGTATGATCAAGGTAACCTGCATTATTTACAATACGAACAGCTTTCTTCTGCAACGTGAAAAATTTGTTGAAACCATGTACGCTTGAAGATCTCCCAAAAGAAAGTGGGCCATAAATCAAGTATGAAAGAGTAAAGGAATTATATCATGTTAAAAGAATTTTTTAGATACAAAATTCTTCAAATGGTTCATAGCCATGAATAAAAGTGAACTGACCCTAATCATGCCCAAATTAACAAAGTCTCTGTAATTAAAACACATCACATTTTAGATATAAAACAAAAAAACTCAAAACAGAAAATGTTCGACTTTCATACGAGAATTTATTTGACCTTTTGCAGCAACCACTGTGTGCTCCATCTCGAGTGTCCTTTCTGACAAGTCGACGCCCAGATACGACAAAGACCTACAACAACAAAGGCTCATATTGGCGGACGAACGCGGGCAATTTCACCACACTACCACAATATAGTTACCTAGATGCACTCTTTTTTTTTACCTACCAAGTTTCAAGGTGCATCAAGCCTCATGTAAAGAAATACTGGCTGGGCTCTACCTTCCTCAGTCCTGCAAAATACTCCACTATGCAGAAACCAATGGCACATTTTTGCAATATACTCTCATGGGAATCAAGCCCTGTAGACTTATGGTCAGTGGGCTCTGCCTTTCTCAATTCTTCAAAATCCTCCAAAAAACCTCTTCATAGATTTTGAGGATCAGGGAGGTTAAGGTCGTTACAAATATTTCCGGCCGAGTTTCAAAAGAAGGAATCAAAACATTTTTGTTATTGTGCCCGGTTGGTACTGTGGCGGGAATATCTGTGACCCGATCCATAGTCCCTTTACCCAGACAACCTAGCTAAGGATCAGTACCCCAGCAGCCGGGAATGCAGGCCCGTTTGGATGGAAATACCGCCCTATACGCGTAGCAGCACTCACCCACGCCCCTCAACCTTAAAGATGGACAAGGACAGACAATTAAGTACACAACAGTCAATGACCTCAATTACTGCTTGATTTATTTACACAGAATCAATGTCATATGATGGACCTCTCGTTAAATTATAATGTTAGCCTCTAATAAGTGATTGTTCTCCGAGCCTCTCAATTATCTCTGTAGGGGTAGCCTCGCATTAGCCGCTACGGTAAGGCAGTGCTGGGCAGCACGGCGATGCCTGGCTGGGGATAGCCTCTGAATCCCGGGTAAGAACTTTACGCCTCTAGCGTTCCTGTGCGCCTCCACTCTCCCGCCCTCGACCGTTTCCAGTCGCGATCCTTCCTCGAGGCGGCGGGTAGATGAGCGCGCCCTCCCGGCTCCGTCACGTTACAATCGGCAGATCGCTGTATTTCGCTCTGCCTCCAGTAGCCTCCGCGGACTCCGTGCCTCCTTATGCCAGCCCGACTTCACCGCACCACCCAGCACACGCCCGTCAGCGCGCGCAAGCTAATTTGCCTACCGTCTCTTCCCCGTAGATGATCTCGGCGTACGCTCGGAAGGTTGTGTCTGAGATAAGCCTAATTTGTGACTGCGTGTGTCTGAGCTGTGTCTACCTGAGCTGAGTCTGTCTCGCAACTGCCCCGGGGCCTTATATAGGGCCCACAGCCGCGAGCGCGCCCTCTCTAGACTACGCTGCTATAGTAATTTGCGCCACAGTACTATTTTCTGTTGATTTATTGTTATTGTTTTTGTCTGTTCTTGTTTTTATTATTCAGCTCCCGTCTGTGGAAAAGACAATGATTTTCCCTACAGCTGGTCTGTACGCCCCTATCATGCACCTACACTACCATATGGGTATGAAAAGGTACGCTATTTCTTCAAATGTCTTGGAATAAAGAACTCACAGTACATTTTGTTTTGAAGTCCATGTGCGCCCATTTCGGAACTTGACCCTTGGCGCAAGCATGCCTAGTCCACTGTTGGTCTATCTCTGTTGTAGTCAAGTCCATCACAAGTCCTCACAAGTCCTCACATGTCCATCCAAGACGATTAAGATTTGTGTGCAATAATTCACAGGTTTGCCCAGGATCTGATGGACGGCTCCATTTCAACCTGCTGTGTCCAGTCAACGTGTCCACTCAGCCTCTCGGTTCTCTACCGGACATCCAGACCACTGACCACATCCTAGAGATCTTCAAGAGTCTGTCCAAGAGTCGCCAGGAAGCGTCTGCACCCCACCTGCCGTTCTTCTTGGGGATGGGTTTCCATAAGCCTCACATCTCCTTCAGGTAATGGCCCCTCCCTGTCTGTCAATCAAATGTTACGGCCAAATCCTCAAAGGTCCAATATTAACCAGTTGAGGTTGGGTTTATATTGACAAGAATGGACCGAGGTACGGGTTTAATATTCACGCGACCGCAATGCCAGGCGGGTCAAAGCCATCACCCTGGGGCTTCAGAGTCATATTTCTGGCATCGGTCTGGGGCTGCGGCTCGCTGACAGATATTTTCCGGTCTCTGTCGTTGCGGGTTTTTTCAGTCATCCGATCTGACTTTCGTAAAACTTCTGCGTGTATACACGGCCTCCGGTGTGAACTGATTAACGGATGTTTGAGACAGGTGGACTCTTGTGAAAAAAACACAAGTGCATGATATTTTTTTTTATTGATTCCTCAGGTACCCCAAGGAATATTTGGAGTTGTACCCTCTGGAGTCTGTGGATAAAGCCCCCAACGCATTCTACTCCCAGACCCAACCCCAGTTGCTTGGAACCCATTCATGGATGTCAGACGGAGGGAGGACACGACTGCACTCCACTTGCCGTTTCCTTACGGTCCCATGCCCGACAAATACCATGTGAGTTATGTGAAATGTTTAATCAGTAGGTTTTTTTTATCAATGTTGTTATTAATTTGTGAAATGCAGTATGTGAAGTGCCATTTCATATCATATCATATCAACTTCATAGAGCTTTGTACGTTGGACCGCGACCTAGCCCATTGAGCATCTCTCTCCAGAAAACAAGGACTTGCAAATTAGAACCTAATTACAGTTGACTCTCCAGTCCTGAATCCTCCAATTTCAATAACGATTTTGCACACCCCATAGGGAGTTAGGGTTGATACAAACTCCGTTAATACAAATTCTGGTTCAGCAAATGTAAAGCCTTAGTCCCAACTGTGCATATTATGTGTAAAGTGAAAGGGACCGAACTTACCACGTAGTACAAAATTCTGATATAACAAACATCTTGGTTAGGTCTGGCTGAGTTTGTAGTAACAAGAGTTGACTGGTTATTGGAATTTTCTTATTCTTGAAAAAAAATTGTCATTTCATTTCACTAAGAGCACTCAAATTAAGGGAAAAAGACTGGGAAAATTAGGGTTGTATTGTAAAAAAAATGGGCTGTTCATCTGAAGGAATATTATGCATCATCTCAAAGTCAAATTTACAGGTGTCTGATCTTTTTGAACATAATTTGTAATGACCAACTATTTTTGCAGACGTTCAGCTGTACAATCGGTTTGGGGATGACACATAACACACGTGAATTTCATGGATATAAGTCATTAATTTGAGTGATTTGTTTACAGTATCTGATCAGGCAAGCATACTACGCCTCAACCACCTACATGGATTATGAACTGGGACGTGTCTTGGCTGGATTAGAGGCGGCCGGGTTTGCAGATGACACTATCATCAGCTTCATCTCCGACCACGGTGAGTTTACTGTTGTATTTTGGTGCGTAATTATTCTTAAGATTTAAGTTGTCTGTAAAGTGGCGTATCCTGTGGGGGTAGCGACAGGGGGGAAACTTGCCTCTCGGTGACATTGGCAATATTTTTTTCCTTAGTAAGGTAACGAAATTTGCAACAGGCAACATTTCACAGCCAGCATTACTAGTAATAATACGCCGTCCCACAGGCATTGCTCAAATAGTGCCACCTGACCCGCTGTTGCGTCCAAACTGTCTGCTTTGAACAGCTCCCCCAATAGTCAGATTGTCAAGCAGGCCCCCCCTTTTTTTTAGTTTGCTGCTGTCTGGTTTCTTTTTCAGAAAAGTAACCCACTTGCCCCCCTCCCCCATGGACCCAAAACATGTATATGGGCAGTTCCACGGTTACTCACGTAACATTTTTGATGTACTTTTGAGTTTCCTTGGGCTGTAATTACCTTACTGAAAAGGTTTAATAACTGTTATCCCCATGGTAGATAGAGTAGACCTAGACCTACCTACCTAAGCACCAAAGATGACATCCAGAAAAATGGGTTATGTATGATAAACAAGACGCACAAAATCGGTTACTCACGTTACGAAAATGTAACGTGAGTAACCAATTTTGTGCGTCTTGTTTATCATACATAACACATTTTTCTGGATGTCATCTTTGTGCTTAGGTAGGTCTAGGTCTACTCTATCTACCATGGGGATAACAGTTATTAAACCTTTTCAGTAAGGTAATTACAGCCCAAGGAAACTCAAAAGTACATCAAAAATGTAACGTAACCGTGGAATTGCCCATATGCTACTGTGTCTGTACTGTAAATAGAAGACTGAAATTGTAGCTAAATGTTAGCAAGGGGAGGTATACTATGACAAATTTGTTCAGGTTTTTGTTCTCTCTGTGTACAGGATGGCAACTTGGTGAGCATCAGGAATGGTCCAAGTTTAGCAACTATGCCACAGCCACGAGAATTCCATTCATGATCCACGTACCAGGCATAACAGACACTGTGAAAGAAGGCTCCAAGAAGCCCAAGTTTCCTCTAAGGGATCCGTTCTTGGAGTACAAGTCGACATCGAGGGTAAGAGGGAAGAGTAATGCAACACGCTCGCGGGAAGAGTTGGTCAGCGATGTTTTGGTGGAGCTAACAGATCTGTTCCCGACCCTTACTGACTTGGTAAAATTACCCGTGCCACCCCTTTGTCCTGTCAACTCATCCCAAGTCGACACTTGCGTGGAGGGTGTTAGCCTTGTTCCAGTCATTATCGATACAGCTTTGAATCACTCAAGCAGGAGTAGCAAGTCCTGGAAGAAGGCAGCCTTCACCCAATACCCCCGGCCCTCCGACACCCCCCGACCTGACAGCGACCAACCATCCCTGGCCAACATTACCATCATGGGATACTCCATGATCACAGCCGATGGCTACCACTACACGGAATGGGTCGGCTTCAATAACGTCACCTGTGAAATGAATTGGAGCGACGTCCACGCGAGAGAGCTGTATATTCTCCACTCAGATCCTTTGGAAGATACCAACGTTGCCGACGTAAAGACAATGAACGGCTTGTGCAAAGACTATCTAGTGAGCTTCACAAAGGGTGGAGATATGCTCTACCCAAACAAGTCTAACAACTTGCCATAATACAATTTATGACTGTGTGCAAACATGACAATACATTTTTTAACAAAATTGCAATGTTCTTAAAAATAATAATATGGACTTATTTTATGTCAGTGTTGTGCCCATTCTTGAAAATCACGCATTCTCGAGAATGGGCATGCACATTCTCGAGAATGGGCGCGCATTCTTAAGAATGAGCGCCCATTCTTAAGAACGAGCACGCGTTCTTAAGAATGAGCGCTCATTCTTAAGATTGGGTGGGAATATCACGTGCACAATTTATGAATTTTGCCCAATCTTAACAAACATTGCACGACATAATTATGTTAAATGAATTGTATAGCGTTTAAAAGGGAAACAATTCATATAAGAGGAAAGAAAATGTGCTATGCTTCTGTAGTCGTATAACTACGATAATTTGAATCAAATTAAACCTGTTATTATTGCTTTTTTCTGTCCACTATGGGAAGTTTTGTAATAACGGAGGACTGGGAACTAGTCTGGGAAGTGCTTTGTTTAGGCTAGACAAGTTACAAGTCCCTGCATGTATCATATGCGTGCCACGAAAAAAACCCGATGTCCAGAAGCTGCCAAAATTACTCTTTTGACTAGATAGAATCCAGCTCTGCGACGTTATGGTGGGATGTGAACAATAATTTGGTGGGAAATAGCATTAGCACTATGGAATGTCACAGTATTCATTCTCATTCTTCACATTCTTCATTCTTACGTCCCCCCCCCCCCCCCCCCCCCGCTTTTATTATCCCAAAAATCAGAATTCTATTATTATGTCTCTTATATTTTCCCGGTCCCCCCGCCCCCCCCCCCCCCATATCAATACGCCTTTACTTATCATATCCACTCTACTTTTCAGCGCCTTGCGTTGCAACAGTATAATTATTGAGAATCAGTGAACGAGGATTTAGCTAGACTTGCCAAGCGCAGCCGGTGCTCGGCATCGACAAGACCGTTATCTTGTCGCGCATTCTCAAGAATGTGCGCTCAATCTGGAAGAGTTATTTTTTGCCAAGATTGAGCAAGGATCCAGTTGCACATTCTCAAGAATGTGCAAGCCCATTCTCGAGAATGCGTGATTTTCAAGAATGGGCACAACATCAGTACTCTAATATATATCGTCATGGAAATGTCGTCATGGAATTTTCGACTGGTATATTGTGTCACATTTATATATCCTGTTTTTATATCAAGAAAACTAAATTGACAGTGCTAACGTTTTAATGGGTCAAGAAAAACTAATTTGAAATAGCTAACTTTTTAATGGGTCGAGACTTGTTCATTATATGGAGAATGACACCATTGAAATATCCTTAAAAATCTAGCATATTTTGTTTGTTTCAGGAAAACAACTGTTCTTTTACTGTTATAGCAGTTGGCTGATACTAGTGCTACATGTATGTGTGCTGGTTTTATCTCACAGTAACTGATAAAAATCATCTTTTTTTAATAGTATGTAGATCTATTTATTGGAAAGTATAATTTTATTTAATGTTCACTTGTAATTCCCACTTGCAATGCCTGACGGTGGCCAATCCAGTGCTGTCAAAACAAATTGGTGCTATTATGGAGGTTATTGAAAACTGATTAAAAAAATCATCTTTTATGAAATAGTATGTAGATCAATATTTGGAATAAAAACGTCTTTGTTTATTTCGATTAATGTTCACTTGTCATTCATATGTGGTCCCATTCTGTGTGCTGTGAAGCAGGAGTAAACCAGAACACAGCATTTCTGTGGTGGTGACCTTTAGGGCATGATATAGCTACCTTGTGGAAAGAACTCTTTCATTAGAATGATGAACGTGATATTACTGTGAACTTGCTGGCACTTTATTGCTATCTCTACAATGTGTTCCACAAGCATTGACAAACGGTACACAGTGTATGCAGAGGTTTGGCACACATTTTGGATACCAGAATGTACCATTCACCCCACTTGACGTATGTTACTATGTCTGCCATCAGAGTGCCCACGCTTGAATCTCAAGGACAGCGGAAACACTGCCCTCTACCGTCCTTGCGCACAGGCAATACTAGACACCGTCCAACATTTCTCAACACTGTTTTGGCTTGTTTACTGCTCCGTTTTCAGTTTAAGGCTCCAGATCTCGTTGGCACGGACGTTGAAGCATCAATCCCATCATGCATTAGCCGAGGCAGTCTCGGCGTTACTCGGTTGTCATCTGGGCATGTAGCTGGCCACTTCATCGGGCTTGAGTGTCTGGTCTACCCAGGCAAAGGGGTGTCGTCAGACAGGGACTGAGTGTAGCCGTTTTGGAAGAGGAAACCTCTCTTGCACGCCTCAAACGTCATGAACATCAGGCCAGCATAAGGAATAATCTGTGGACAACCAAATTGATTTAATAATTTTCCTATAATATTTATTCAAAAAGTTTCCTACGCATCATTAAACTAGAAAATGTGAACTTTTTTTCCTTCTTTTTGGTTGGTCATCAAAGTTCCTCATTAGGAATGCAGTTCAAATTAATTGGTGCACGACAATTGAAGTCAAGTCCACAACTGGTCAAATCACAAATCAATCACAAGTCAAGCCAAACTTCAAACCAAATCACAAGCCAATCACAAGGCAAATCACAAGCCATCACAAGCCAATCACAAGCCAATCGCAAGCCAAATCACCAGACAAATCACAAGTTGTTCACAAGCCAATCACAAGCAAATCACAAGCCAATCACAAGGCAAATCACAAGCCAATCACAAGGCAAATCACTAGCCAATCACAAGCCAGTCACAAGTAAGGTCACAAGGTCCAGGCGATAATGACAAAGGAATCCTTTTTCTCACAGTTCATTTGAATAGATTGTTACTTGAGACTGGACTTGTGACCGACTTGTGAGGCCTACAACTCTTGCGCGCAATTCACAATAGTTTCTGAATTTTTTCTGATCAGCAACTACAGAATTACCTTGCAAAGATTTGCTGCGTTTCCTCTCCAGTGCCCTTCATTCCGTACATGTCAGTCGTCTTCCTGAAGGCCATTATCATCCCCCGGAATGGATGGATGTCCACGCCCCCTCCATTCTTCATCACGAAGCTTTGGGCCTGAACAAACCAACAAACCAATAGCAAAATTAAAGTTAATAGAATTCAATCTTAAAATCCTTCAACTCCCATCTGATTAATTTATGATAATCTTTCTCACATCATGTTCTCATCTGTTTTAATGCGTCTCCTCCCTGTACCTAAGTAACTTTGGATGAATTCTTTGATGGTAAAATAATTAATACATGTACGCTTCTTCAACTGAATGAATAAAGTTAGTGAAGTAATGTCCTCAATTTTAATACTACATAGAGGGACTTTATTTTGTTTTTGTGCAGTTACGGCTGAATTCAAGTTTCAGCAGAATGCTCCAAGAAACTAAACCAAAAGCTTTTCCACCACACTTTGCTGGAATCTTCCCAGTTTTTTCTTCAGATACTCCCCTGTTTTCAATGCTTCCTGGGAAGTTTCTTGGCAGATTCTTGGATTTTTCTTTGTAGTTCCTCAGTTTCCTGACCCCACAAAGTAAACCTGCATCCAAGATTACTTGACACTTTTGTACCTGGAGCTTTTTCCTGACGGTATCGAAAGGAAAGGACAAGGTCTGTGCAAAGGCTGCCGCCACACATCCATTGAAAAAGTTCTGTGCAGGGGTGAGCATGTAACGCGGACAATCCCATATGGAGTCTAGTAACTCGTAGATCAGGAAGGTACAGGCACTGAAGGGCAGGGAACCTGACCAAAGAAGGTAAACAAAACTTGTACATTTAAAAAAAACCAAAAAAACATTTGAATAAGCTGGTTGAGTGCACTATTAAAATAGTTAAAATGCATTAAAATTATGACAAAATACAATTACCTTTAAATTATAGGCACTGCTCATGGGCATGTCATCTAGAAATGTTAACACAAGCATAAACTTTGACCTAGATTTCTTATTGCTACACTGTAGAATTAAGGTCAGGAACTTTTTTTATTATTTATCAAAGCTGTACAATTCTATAAACAAAAAAAGGTGTATAAAATTAAGCACACTGTAGTGAAACTTGGACAAATGTTGTTTATGTTGGACAATGTTGAACAGGACAGGTGTGATTTCAATCACTGGAAAAAAAATGTTGATCCATTTTGGGACACGCCCCTTTTCCCATCCTCTAGACCCTTCCCCCTCCCTAGTTAGAGTGGAAGATGATAATATCACCCCACTAGTAATGACACATAGAGCCCTTTATAGAAGGCCAGCAGCCCTTCCTCCTTCAATATCAACTTGAAGGCATGGACGATTCCTCGGTAACGCCGTTTCCTCTTATCCGTCGACTGCACAATCAGTCGCGTCTTCACCATGTCCGTCGGATAGGTCACTACCGTGGCAACCATTCCTCCCAGACTTCCGGCCAGCAAGGCCTTCGGGGGACTCATCCGACCATTCTCATCTGCAAGCTTTGACTTGAACTTGTAAAACGCCGAAAACTGTATGGTGCTGAAGGGGACAGTCGCAGACAACCAATCAGGTTCCCTTTCCAGAATGCCCTCAGGCCCTGTGACTGGTACAAGTTAACAAAAGCCTTGAAGAATCCTTGTTTTGTTTCCCTGGTCCCAACTTGAGACAGGATTTTGACCACATCCAAGGGGGCGGTGAGAGTTCTGCTGGTCACGCCTGCTGTAGTGGTGCAGGTGAAAGTCTGCAAATAAGTCAACCGGTGGTCCCTTGTGACCCCTCCCATTATTGACAAGATACCAGACAGGGTCCAAGTTGACAGCTCAGGTAAAAGGGGCTGGCCAAGTTTGGGCACGTGCTGCCGGGTTGAAAAGTTCATGTTGTCTGCAACTGGTTTGTAAAATTGTAATCACGACCACACTACACTGCGCATTGATAAGCAGATATTGTTTATCCCCAAAACATTGAGTTTGAAGGAGGAAAAACAACAAAACCCTGGAAAAAATATACAGACTAATTTGTTTTAGCTGTATTTAGGAATTTGGGTATTTTATTATCCGAATAATGCAATATTATGAACTATTTAATATACGTAATAAAATGTTAGTCGCCGGATCACAGATGCATTTTGGGAGTTTTAGCATTAATTACCAAGATGGCGGCCCCCATGGT